TGAGACCTATATTTTAGCAAAATTAACAGAAACCGTACATTTCTTTTCTTGCTTCTATGTTTCAAGTTTCACTAATTCTGAACAAAGCCCAGATGACACAAGAAAGCCCGGTTGATTTCACACAATTCTCTCGATCTACATGTACGACAAATCGATCAACTTTACTTTAATGCGGTGAAAACATTACTTTTCGATGCTTTAGACATATTTAATGTAATAAATAATTTTAAACTAGATGAATTACTAGAACTAATTAACTAGTATGTTTGAATAAGTTTTAGCTCTTCCATTTCATCATGTGAAAAACCATAGGATTTGCAAGCTGTCTTGAAACATGTAGTTCCTGTTTCAAGCTTTATCTTTTCTTGCGATTTTGGATTTACTTGTTTCGATTTACTTGTTTCAATTTATGGTACTCCGAGATGATAACAATATCAATAGAATGGGAATATTGGTCATGGATGTTTATATAAGTTATGGGAAATACAACAAGTAACTTGATTATATATATTTCTTATATTTCAGATAGGATCGGGTCGAGATACTGCATATAAAAACGAATTATTTAATGGAGAGGCATACGTGTTGACATCTTTCTGTGATGAGCACGGCCGGGATGAGCATGTTATGTGATGTTAGATATGGTATGATTGCACCGCATATTGCTACACTCCAACACAAAACTGTGTCAGTCACATCTTGTCAAAGGAGAATATTGCCTATCATATCTTACTATCTATCATATGTAAGACAAACCAAGAACTACTTTCTACAAGGAACGTCGTGTTGATATTCTGCATGATCTGGGTGAAGGTGAAACTCAACAACTCATACCTTTCAACATACCACTAACTGGTACCAGTGTGGTAAACATAACAGTAACTTCTGTAATAGACTTTAAAATCAACACGATGAAAATTCCAATAGACTTATAATCAAACTGTATTCATATTTGTGATTTTTCTTTTTGCTATGAACTTTGCATGTAGGTCTCTTCAGACTAGTTCAAAAATTGAATTATGGGCTCTCATTCCCAGTTAGAGAACATGAACATGTAACCCCCTATTGAGATGACATATGTTTCTGATTGGTCAAAATCGAAAAACAAAATGTCGTCCTCAAAACTTTCGAAATACGCTTCGAATAATATTTTTTGTTCATTTTTTGCATGTTGACCAATATCATAACTTAATATTTCACATCAACATAAATATAGATGTACATAATATGCCTATATGAATTTAACACCACATCAGGGTGTAGATATGACATATTTTGTCTTCCATGGATAATGAATAAATATCGTTTATCAAAGTTTATCGAGAGTATATGATTTTGACCACTCCAACAAGAATTTTGATATGTCATTAACCTTATCATATTTATATTTATTATAATCATAAAAAACAATGCTCAATTGTGATTCTTCCAATGTATGAAGACTGTACGATCGCTTCGAAAAGAATTATCTCAAATAGTAACATTCGAGTAGAATGTGTGCATGTAGATGTGTAAAACTATGCATTAGGTTAGTGTTATAAATCTTTTACTTGTCATAGTAATCAAAAATAATTATCAGATTTTTACAGTGTTTTATATTGCATCATGGCATTTACAGACAATCACAAAGTTACCATTGTACAAGTAGCTACATTAGGCTACACAATGGGGCTTCACAGATGTACTTACGATGGTACTAAAAATAACACATATAGAATACGATAAAGCGCTGAATGTAGACTCAGTTGAGTTATTGTTCGGGGATAATCATCACTGGTGATCCACTCGATTACGCTGGTTACCAAAACGATTCGTTTCGTTTTGGTAACAAAATGTCGGAACATCGAAGGTACGATTTTTCTTTTTTCCTTATTTCACACGTTGTAGGCAGAATTCCGACGACATTTTTAACACAAACGTGTATCAGTATCATATATTTAAGAAAATGTACATATTTGCGAACAAATAGTTCAGAAGACAACAGAATCGTCGATTTAATTTCTCACTTAAGTTACATAAACGGTTTTTTCGAAAAACAGTTAAGATCTGCACTTAAGTGAGGAATTAAATCGACGATTCTGTTGTCTTCTGAGCTATTTTTCTGCAAACATGTACATTTTCTAAAACATATGATGCTGATACACGTTTGTGACAAAAAACGTCGTTGGGATTCTGCCTACAACGCGTGAAATAAGGAAAAAGAAAAATCGTACCTTCGATGTCCGACATATTGTTACCAAAACGAACCGTTTCTGTAACCAGCGTAATCGAGCGGATCACCAGTGATCATTGTACAACTAAAATTAATTGAATTCAATTTTTGAATTGAAACAAAATACAATAATAATGTCAACATATAGAGTATGTTAAATAGGTAATGAGTCCTGATAAATCATGACATCGTATTTCTTCTCCAGTCCTAAAACTGTGTATCTGTGCCTTTGCTAATTTATATGTGGTTGAATACAATGCCTTTTATGTAATGGATTGACATTAAGGTAAATGATAACTATCACACTTATTGACAGTTATAACACATCCCATCTGATGTGTTCAGATCACAGAATATGCCTAATAAAATCAAAGCAAGTTTCGGTTGAAACAGAAGGATGTTATGAGTATCGAAATGTAATGAGTGGCTATTGCACTAGGCCGTGTGGGCTCACCGTTCGGAATATCCTGCTTTAAAACTATTTGATTAGCCAACCGTATGTCCATGTCTAGCCCTGCCATCTGCAAAACGTATCCATACTGTAGCGAACGGTGAGCCCACGTGGTCTAACGTAACAGCTCCATAAAGTGTTGTAAGATTGAATTTAATAAAAAAGAAATTATATTGCATAAACGTGAATTTGCATTGTGTTTCTAGTCCTATACATGTATTCCATTAGAAAGTTTTAGAGAACGTCTTCTTTTAGACGGAATTCATAGACATATACAGTACCATTATACAAGAGATGAGCAGTCTGTAGATATTCGTTAATTGGTTATCCCACATTTGCTCCGATTCATTGCCCGGCGGCCGACAGATTAAATATTCTGTTCAAAACTGAATGCAATTGTCAACAGGATACTCAATCGGCCGGACGGAGAGTAGGACCATAATTGATAGGACCTCCTACCCGTTTACACCAGGCATTAATGTTTATATCCATCCTTGTATAGATATGCCTTCGTTGTTAATATTGATTCACTATTTTATAAATGCCTCACATCTTATGAACTGTAGCTAGTTTTGAATAGATAAACCCTGGTAAGTTCGTAAAATGCTGCAATTTCAATTAGGGGCAATTCTTCATATATCTTTTGGACATAAGTTTCAGCCAGTCTAATAGTTCCCTTTTCAATAATATGTATTATAATAGTCCCGCTTGGAATTTTAATCCTATTTCTGCAGCAACGCTAACTATACTTTATCTGTAAAATGCCTGTATTTCATATTTATATGATTGTTCCATTGTTTCAGATGGAATTATGATAACAATTTCCATTTGCTTGAAAAAGATTTATTAAATAAGAAATATTGCAGACCAAAACATTTTGATACATATTTATATGATGAAAATGTTTAACAAACATAAATGACCGTCAATAAACTAGAAAAATAAAATAAATAAATAATCTAAGTAGTCCTGAATGGCTTATCACCACTTTCAAGTTATTTATTCCGTGGCACTGGATTTGTTAATTATACTACGGATCGTAACTGATTATTTCGGTCATAATATGTCGAATGTCTTTAACTGGTAAATAGGGATATTACGACCTGCCCAGTTCATGTACAACTAACTTACCGTAAGTTAGTCGACAAGTGAAATGATTCCAATAAGCGATGTTTCAAAAATATATGATTTTCTATCGTTTTACGTTTTGGCGAGTATAAACTAAAGAGGTTACTTCGCTAGAGTTTTTGGATTCTTCTATTAATTGGTAAAATACTTGTTTTCTCTTCAAAGTACAGTCAATCGTATATTACATATGAATTGTAAATATATACAATCAAAATCAAAACGTTAACGAACATGTATTCCAAGAACCCAATTTTCTTCAACTTATGATATTACAAGCAACACTATAATCTTACAATTGCCGAACAGCACCCATCTGGACATCCTTTTCTTCATTTGATACATATTTTATAATGTAATTTACATTTTGATTGTGAAAATTCTCCCGGCGCAACGTCTGCCGGTGATCGGTTGGCAGTTGAAAAATACCGTAATCGGTAGGCACCCATAAGGTGAACCTGAACTTATGTGAGCAAAGCAAAAACGATAAATTATGATCATAAATCATGATACGCAGGTAAACCGAGAATGCGAGATAAAGGTACGTTTTAATAAATCCGTAACCCAATATTTTGTAGCTCCCAGTGTGAATAACGTAATGCGTTAATTTCAGTCAAAATCAAATAATTCGATGGAACAGTATTTCCCTCTATAAACTTATCATCGGTTCAAAACCATAACGTAAGGAGTCAAACCTCAGGAATTCCCGGCGATCTCAGCCCCCCTATACTTTAACATGGACAAATGGATGAATGGAGAAAAAAAATATTTCTGATCAGTTAAACAAATATGTGTTCACATTATGTAAGACTTTAGATAATTAAGGACCTAGAAACAAAATATTTTGTTTCTATAATTATATAAAGGGCATTATATTTAACCACAAAGAAAGGGTTAAACCTGAAAAACGAGTTCATCGATTCGCCAAAAAGGTTGTAGAAAAATCCATTTTGATGATTCAGAAATAATATTTTAGAATATGAAAATTCACCTCATCTCCTAAATTGTGTTACAATTCTATATTGATCATCGAAATAGTAAAAAACTTATACCCATCTAAAAAGCTCTCTCTATCGAGCCTCTTCCTTTCCATATCAATTTCAAAAAAAGCCTTTAAGTTTAACCAGCTTGCAAAAGATAATTAGTTCCAGATGTTAATACCAAGAAACATCTCTTATTAGGCATGTAACAAATGAAAGAAAATTGATGTACCATTTCAGCAAAAATACATCCAATGCTCCAGACGTCAACTGGTGTAGAGTAGAACCTGCTTCCAAGAAGGATCTCTGGGGCGCGATACCACAGTGTCACGACCTAAACAGCAAAATGTCACAATTATAAAGCTTATAAAATTCAATCCAAAATCACAATACAATTTACAATCACTCCCCCTAGAATTCCTTTTTCGTGGAGCACGGATGGAGGCCTTCAAGTGCAGAATCATTAATTTTGATCAATTTCAGTGAAATGTCCAGCAGAATGGACAATCTGAATTCATGAAAAGTTAGCCTTCCCTCGGTAATTTAATACTTTGCTTTCGAATTATCTAAAAAAAACTAAGCACAAATTTGACAAAAGTTGTTTCTTTTTGCTCTATTTGCTATATTTTAACCCTTTGAAATGTATTTTAATGTAATTAGATAAATGCACATCCACATAGAGAATGTAAACTTTGATTTGAAAATGTTCATTGCTTTTATCCGATAGTTCTTCCAAGTGCAATATATTTTGCAGTTAAATGTTCTTTCAGAAGTAAGTAGTTGGTAATATACGAGTATATCCATCACCATGCAATCATGTGGTGATTTAAAACTGAATTTGCAATGAAAACCCTCAAAGATCTGGTACTTTCATTTCTCACATGTTTGATAGTGGGTCAATTAAGCCTGTATCTCTGTGTAATTTTCACTAAATCAGACCAAGGTGAAGGTGGGGGGGGGTAAGGGGATAAAGAGGAGCCAAGCCAATTCTAGACCAGAATTGTAAAAATGTTGGCCTCTTTTGGATCCCCATTCTGAGAATTTCTTATATCAGACATTTTCAAATACTATATATATCTAGTAAATCCAATCATTTAATTGCAAGATATATTTCTCAAGTTCTCTTTAATCTTATTCCTGTCATCAACCATAAAAATCTCCAAGAATTCAACTTTATGTACTTCTATATTATGTACTTCTATATTATGTAATATTATATACCTCATGTGTGTATGTCCTGACAGGGACACCAAATGCTCTGGCCAGACCAAAATCAGCAAGCTTGATACTTCCTTCAGAATTAATAAGTAAGTTCTGTGGCTTCAGATCCCGATGTAAAACTCTATGTGAATGGCAGTATGCTATGCCTTGTAAAAGTTGGAATAAATAACTCTGAAAAAAATAGTAAAGAATTGTTATTATAAAAGTAATAGTTGACAGTAAAACTTATATAACCAACAAAAATGCTACAAATTTTATTTACTGTTATGCCGTTAATTTGGTGCTATTCAATTTTGGTTTTGATCAATTTTTGTAATAGGCGCATATTTGATTCGGCAAAATTAACTATTGTTGACAGACCATAACCTTTAGACAATTAGAATCATAAGTATACAATTACTGTTTCAAGACTCTTGAAGAACACATAATTTTTAGGTTTTATGATGAAACTCCTAGACAATCTGTATTGCAAGTATATTATCAATGCCATCCCGTAGATTTTGGCATATTCCCTAAATTCATCAAATCAAAACAGGTGTGCCATGATAAGGTACTAATCCCAACTCGATCTTCACTCATCAGTGGGAGAGTAAATTTAAGCACATACCTTAACCAATTGGGGTGGAATGCCTGACGCTGGACTGTTATCAAAGTACTTTTTGAGATCTTGGTCTAGGTATTCAAACACCAAATATAATTTTTTCTCACTGTGGACAACATCATGTAATCTAAAAAATTAAAAAATTGTTTTTGTAAAGAAAATCTTTATTTTATAAATACATTTCGGCTGACGGCGGGGGTTGAATCACCCTTGGCTACGGGCCTGAACAGCATACTGATGGTTTTAATATATCTGTCCACTGTAAAATATAAAAAGCAAATAATAATCAATCATGCACATATGGAACATTTTACAAAATTCCTCTGAATGTCTTTGGCTGACTATAGTGTATAGAATAATACTACTGTTTAAATAATAAATAAATAAATAAATATTTACCTGACAATGTTAGGATGATTCAGTTCCTTGAGGAGGGATATTTCTCTGATTGCTGTACTTGGTACTCCTTCGGTTTCTCTGCAAAGTAAATTATTAAAAAATAGATAACTTTACTTGGATATAATATATGATGGATATAACAAAACCATATACCCTCTTTGAGTGTGATAAGGAAGGTATAGCATATGAATAGTAAGGTATAGCATATAAATAGTAAGGTATAGCATATAAATAGTAAGGTAAAGCATATAAATAGTAAGGTATAGCATATGTCTATAAATAAAATTATCCAAAATGGTGGCTATTTAGCTCATTCAGAAATATGAAACTAAAGTCGCAAAGAGATTGAGATTATATGTGCACAGTTGAATAAAAATTGATGACATCCTCATTGATAGAGGAAGGTAGGTACAAAACATTTTGAAGCAAATGCGTGACAACTGACATATACGGAATTCCCATGAAATTTCTAAACAAATATATTCATTTTTTTCAGCGTTCACATTTTTGATGTATCGGCGTTCATTTTTTGAAGTTCTTCTACAGAAATATTTTTGCTTGACAATTATGCACGGGACACCACAGGATTTCATTCTGTGTTTTCTTTAACTTAGGTAAAATGCGTATTTGTGTGCCATACTCCTACAATGTACAATACACAAATTGAGGGACAATATACCAATACGCGATAACGTTTAGTTTTCGTTCAGTTTAGTTATCTCTCGTTTGAAGAGCTCTCATGTATGGTACAACTTCGTCTACATCCGGGTTCTTTCACATTGGATTACACAGGGGTGCTATTTTCAATGCCACACTGCCAAAGTCAGCACTATCAATGGTATACTCTACCTTATAATAGATAAATACAGAAGTTCAAAAACTGTTCGTCATTTTGGTTTCACAACTGCGTCGATACATTCCGTTTAGTGTAAAATAGTATCCTAAAGCCCAAATCCCGGGAATCCCGACTCACTGTTTACACCAACAATCAATCAGATGGTATTATTACACCAAAAGTAGTGCGAAAAAGTTTTGATGACATTTAAAGACACTGTTCCTCTTTCACGTGCATTATCTCATGGAAATGGGCATACCAGTGTTGCCAGTGCAAAGATCTTTGTTCCATGGTAAAGGAAAGCTATCAAACATTGTCTGAAGAGCAGATCTAGCTCTGTAATTTTACTTTTAACATGGCGACCTTGACAACATATAGCCATTTGGGCGATAATAGGTGATTCTAAATGGAAAATGAGTGCTTTTTTCGTAGTTTTACTTTGACCAAGGCTTGCAAAAAATTTAAGTGATAAACCTTCCAACAATTTTTGATATTTTTGTTGTCTCGAAGTGTTCTAGACGATATCAAAGTGGAAAAAAATTTGTATGTCTCGAAATATTTTGAAAATTAGTGCCATTATGGCGGGTCTGGGTGTTTTTTGCTTTCATTTTTTACCCATTTCCACGGTTGCCATGGTAACTCATACCAGCCAACCTACCGTATTTTTACGGGAATCAACCAAAAAATATTCGTTTTTCAGTTAAAAAATCTAAATTCCATAAAAAATTACCGTTTTTTCCTGTAAAAACGACCGTAAAAAATCTGCTGTAACTTTACCAAAATCTACCGTAAAATATTTTATTATCATTCGATTTTTTCCATAAGAACGGCCGTAAAATATACCGTAAATATTTGAAAATCTACCATATTTCTGCTGGAAATAACAGTATTCTTGTTCAAACTACCGTAAGATCTCCTATAATTATTATGAAATTCTGAAAAATTGAATTCTTCTCGTATTGCCCTTGTAATATTCCATCACCAGCCCAAAAAATAGGTGCCGGCAGGTCTTTGACGGTGGTTATTGCGTACTTAGTAAGTAACTAAGTAAGCTGACGTGTAATCAGTCAACACACTGGGGAATATCGTGATGCAAAAACAGTGTTCAACTACCAAAGGAGGAGTAATCATGATTAATTTGTAAATTGCTACATTGTAGCAATGGCATGAGTTTGATGTCACACTACACTGGGGCCTAACTGGCGTAAAGGGGGAGAAAAGGGCCAATTTTGCACATGGGGACCACATTTGACTCAAAATATTTGCATTTAGTAACCTACACTTAAGTACATTCTGTGTAATACTTGAAATGCATTGCTATAATGATTTACAAAATGAAATAATCTCGGGGAATTTGCTTCCAAAATTTTTGAATGAGATCCCTGAAGTTGATGACCCAATTTTAGGTCATTTTGGCCCGTTTTTAGAGACTCAGCCTTCACCTATTTCCCCAAATATGGCTAGATTTTGTAGAAAACGTGTTAAAAGTTTGAAATGCAGCTGTTTTGAGCCTGAAATAACTCAATTGTTTGAAAAAATGCTGAATGAGGAAAAATTATGATAGTAAAATTTTCCCATTTTTGGATATTAAGGTGTTATTACGGTAAATACCACTTCCGGGTAGGACGTGTTTTTAATACTTTAAAAACAAAGCCATGCCAACTTCAATGGTGTCACTGTGTATAGTAGGTTTAAGTATATGCATTGTGGCCATTTGAGTACCCTGCATGCAGAGTCTAGTTAAACTACACTCTGCCTAGTAGAGACCATATTACAGTTAAGTAGCCCCGCCCCCACGACGGGTACTGGTGACAGTTTGGGTAAATCACTTTTGACCTACGCGCTGACCTTCCACCAATCAGCGAGCTTGAAGAAACATACGCCAAATGCGTTCTAATTAAATATGCGCATGTCATTGGTCAATTCCGGGCTCAACGATGACGTCAGAAGGAATGACCATATAGAGAACGTCGGTCAAATTTGGCCGACGAATACTGATTGGCGCGGAAAGTTCACAGGTTTATTTTAGTTTGAAAGAGTGAAGACGAAGCTCTCTTTTAAGAAGTGAAGTCGAACGAATGCAAAGGGTACCATTTGAGGTATGTATGTAAAGCTGAGGCCAAGTACTTTCTAAATGTGCCATTTTTAGAATTGAATCGCAAGAATATAGTCCCGTAAACTGGAACTACTTTATTCGTTAATTTTCATCGGTGAAGCAGGGATTTTACCTAAAAATGAGTCCCTATGTTGGCGTAGTGATATTTAAAAATCGAGACGCAAACCCTATGTTAAATATAGTGTAAAGATGAAGGTTATGGATATAGTCATTGTATGGGCCAGTTCGTTCGAAAATGGCGATATGTAGCCCAGAACTTGAATTTTGTGATTTTTTTCAATATTTTTCAATGATTTACCGTAGTGACACCTCCATTTTTAAAACTCCCACTGTTTACAACAACAACCAATCAGATAGGTTTAATTTTTTACATCGGGCTGTGCATGCGCCATTGGAGGAAGTGGACGGTTCGAGTGTGAATTTGGACCAACTTTTGCAAGTTTTACCAGGAAATCACCTTTCATTTGGTATGTTAGTAACGTTTGTTATCGTATTGGGTATGTAAGAATCATATACATGTCGAATTATTAGCATAAATGTCACAGTTTGAACGATAAATGGAAATATAACACTTCCGGAAAATATTGTCACAAATGCCTTGTGGACTTTCCTCTATTTATTAGAGATCTATTCACTTTTAGATACCATTGATAGTGCTGACTGTGCACACTGCGACTCTATTAAACATTTATGTAGAGTTGCATTTGCACAAATGATAGGTATGTATGTTATTAAGATATATAACAAGGCTTTTTGAACTGTAATCCCCAAATCCGAAGAAATCTGTAGTTGAAAATGCCGTCCAATTCCAGTGACGTCACTGATTTCCCAGAAATTGCTCAGAATTCATCGAAGATCGAAAAAATATCAATAATGTTACTTTGAATCTCCGATTATCTTTCTGATTATTCAATAGATTGGATCCTATAACTATGCTTGAGGGCTGATGGAAGATCAGATGCTGAGAAATGTTCAGAGTATTCGACTCGTTCGGCGGGCCAATGAAAATTTGTCCCTTCCAAAGCTTAGTTGCATTGTATCAATAAAATAATTATGAAATTAAAAGTACATTCCTCAATAAAATGATAAAACAGAAAAGTTCAGTTTAAATGTGTAAGTAGAACGGAAAATAAAATTAAATCATAAAGCCAAACTCACGTATCCAAACGAATTTTTTTCAATGCAACAGTTTCACCAGTAGTCTTATCTTTAGCTTTGTATACAACTCCATAAGTTCCTTCCCCGATTTTTTCGATTTTTTGAAAGTTATCCATATTTTCCGGGTTTTCCTTAGATTTATCACTCCATTTGTCTCTTTGATGTAGTATTATTGGACAAAAACATAAAAATATTAGAACAAAACAAGAAAAAGTTTTTCCCGGGGTTTCTGTGACATGTGATCAAATACAGCAATTTGATTGGTCAAAAGTTTAAAATATTTGACGTCATTTCCGCAGGTTGTATACTTCCGCTTAAAATAAATATTTTGGAAGATGAAACTTCAATTGATGTTTTGATTGATATTAGGTTCTAAGCAACACCATCGCTAGCATCTAGGTATGTGTTATATTCTTGTAAATGTGAACGCCATATTTCATAGTATATGTTAATCAAGGATTTTCGAAAATATTGTTTAAAAAAAATGACGAACCTTCATGGGCGATAATGGAGTTACATCATGGAGTTTAGAGTAGTATAAGATTGTGATGAGCACATTATAAAACTGTACATATTATAAGTATAAGTGATTTTAGACTTTATGAAAATATAAGCACAAGTGTAAGCATGCTGTGAAAAACAAGCACCAAAAGACCATTTAGCGACATTATATCGCAAGGATAAGAACAACCAAACAAGCAAGGAGTTGCCGAGTGGAAATAACAGTACAGTCCTGATACAAATTACTGTACTCCTGGTAAATTTCGACGATATAAATTTCACGATTTTTCAAAATTGCAATTTCGCAGCTATTTAAGGTCAGGGTGCATGATGGGAAATTTTCTGCATTCCTCAATTGAGTCACATGTTATTTTTCAAACAAGAATCACTCCTTCCCTTCATTGTCTATATCTTCCAGTTTTGCACAAAGAGTGCACTTAGGTGCCTAGAAAAGACTTGTGAGAAGAATGTTTTGATAAAGTGTATAAAAAACAAGAAAATTCAGTGAAAAAAATCAGAAAATTTTCAGAAATTTTTTTCACTGAATTTTCTCATTTTTTATACATTTTACAAAACAAACCTTCTCACAAGGCTTTTCTAGGCACAGAAGTGCATTCTTTGTGCAAACTTGGAAGATGTAGACAATGTGGGGAAGGAGTTATTCATGTTTGAAAAATAACATGTGACTCAATTGAGGAATGCAGAAAATTTCCCAACATGCACCCTGTCCTTAATTGGCGGATTTGAGTTGATGACATTTCGCGGATTGCACAAGTTGAATTTTTTCCAATTCTGGCTCTTTTAGCCCGTTCAGAATCCGAATAATGTTTGTATATCTCACGTTTAGGGCATTTATTTGAATATTCTTGAATAGCTTTTTCAACTTCAATTTGTAGGATATCATTGTCATCAATTACTCGAGTCTCTAGCCAATACTTGGCTAGAGGGGACTTCATCTGGAGTAATGTGAACTCCATTTGAAAAAAGCTGGCCGTGGTGTCATAAATTTATTGAATATTTTAAAAATCGCCAGATAAATAAATCATTAATCATAATGGACCCCACTCGGCTCCTTGATGAGATATGACATGATTTCATTAGGATTTCGTCTAAAATTGAAACAAAATGGCTCTAAGAAAAATGGCGATGTTCGAAAACTGGACGAAATGTCGTTAATGTTTGACATTAGTAACTGGCTGTAAATTCTAAGTTAGCGATCCAGAAGATGTGAACTAATACACTGATCACTTTATGTGTGTTTTGGAATTTTTGGTGCGGTAATAAGACCAAAACTCGCAATTCAAATTGTGATGTGGAAAAATGGTGGACATATGATTTCAAATTTTATGATTACGACATGACCAGTTGTTCATGCAGGAATATATCTTTACTGGAAGGCCACAATACAGTGGCCTTAGAAGAAGGTAAGTCGTCAACAGTTCTTGCCTTTGTTGGCCTAAAGTCTGTTACACTGCTTTAAAGGCAAGCAGTTGAACCTGAAAAATAAGAAATCTAGAGACCATTGTGCCATAATACATGTATATAGAAAAATATGTTCATATTGCACACAAATGACATTTGTATATTTCAGATTATTTAGTGTTTAGTGCAATAAGCCTGTGCTCTCTTGTAATTTGAGGTCTGCCCGCCATGTTATTTTTGAGAATTAGCATGGAAAAGAAGCATCAAAATATAAGAGGTTACAGACTTTATAAGCCAATCTACAAGCAATCCAACATATACAAATGTCATTTGTGTGCAATATGAATATACTTTTCTATATATTATTGCACAATATTATTTAGATTTCTTATATTTCAGGTTTAACTGCTTGCCGTCGAAGCAGTATAACAGACTTTAATAAGCCAATTCAAAATGTTAGACATTTTAGGCCTTTTTTAATTATCGCCCAACAACACTGGACGAAACATTTTAGACCGAATGAAACATATCAAAAGTCCCGGGTCAATTCCCCAGGGATTTAAAAGACAAATTTCGCGACGATAAATGTTCGCAATTTTACTACATTCGCGAACAAAGCGAAATTAAATTGCACGCGAACAATACCCGGAGTATAGTAATTGATTAGTCATATAGTTTGCATATTTTCTTGAATTTGAACATTAATGTCCCAAACTCCCACAAACTGTGAAGCTCAGAAGCAAATAATTCATGCTGGCAAAAGAATCAAATAATCTGATTGGTTTAAACTTTAATGCGCATATATTTTGATGCTTTGATATTTTGAAACTCTCTAAATTACAAAAGGCCACAGCTTTGCTGCACATTAAACATAACTATCTGAACAATAAAAAAGTTAGGACTTGTACGTATGTTTCCATTTTTTTCATGTATCAGTGATCTCCTTAGCATTAAAGGCGCAGCACCCACCTGAGATTTTGAAAATAGGCTTGCACCCACCTGAAAATCTATTTGCACCCACTTGAAAATGAGAAAAATCATGAAAAATTGGCATATTTTGACCATTTTTGGTCTGAATTGTGAAAGTGAGAATTTTGCACCCATCTGAGAAAATATCCTGGGGAGATCACTGTATACTGTTGCAATATACAGTAAAACCTGCGAACAGGGAATGCTCTTGGGATTGGAGGAAAGTTTCCTTGTTCAGAGGTTTTCCCTATAGAGAGGGGCCGCACTTTCAGCAAACTCAAAATTGCCGAATAAGCATATCTGTATATATATTGATTGATTATACAAATGCCGACTCCATACTTGTTACTTTCTCCCCATGTTGACTTTAGCTGTTTCTAGCGTCTGATGATGTCTAGTTGATGTAATCATTGATATGATGTGTAGAGATATATTGTTAAGAACTGAATTTCAAGTTTCATCAACCCCATTTTATATCATTGATAATCTAGAAGTTGGATCAGTAAAAGATTTAAAGAGATTTGGCTCAACATGACCATGTACATACTTACTATCTGTTATCTCCATAAAACAATTGTGTCAGTCCCTAGATTATCACAACTGATTTGATGAAATTAGGTTTTTCAAAGGAAGAATTGGTGTAATGATAATAAGTAACAAACAGCTTAGAATTAGTTTTAAAATAAATTGGGGTAATTAACAGTGGGTGGGATGCTACATCTTGTCAACAATTGGCTTATCTTAATCTCAATCATATTAATCCAAGCTTTTTATATTCAGATATTGGCTTAAGACTTTCACACCTCTGAAAAATAATAGAATATACAGTGTCACCAATATTCCATATTCCTTGTTCACAGGTGAATTTTCATAATTTGCCCCAAAATAATGTTCCTTATTCCCTGTTCACAGGTTTTCCCTACAGAGAGGGTCCGTTAACATGTAAGTCAATGGAAAAATATTCGGTTCTTTTGAAAAGCATTCCTTGTTCATAGGTTTTCCCTACAGAGAGGTATTCCATCGGACAGGTTTTACTGTAGTCATTTGATTGCTTTTTTAAATTCAAAGTAGTTCCAAACATTTAAAATTTAACTGTAGCCTATTAGCCAGACAATGGACCATAGACCTGGGAACATGTATTAAAACACCAAGTTGAATACACCAAGTGATAAAAAACATTTTACTTGTTACTTGGTGTATTCGAATCAACCTTTTATACATGTTCCTGGGTCTATACAATGGACAGTCGTCCAGATTTGATCTGATGCCTTTCTTAACGATAACAACAAATCATGTATTTTGCTATATAGAACAATATTCAAATAACAGAAATTTCAAAATGATGATTTAATCATGAAATCACAGGAACTTGTATCAACTAACATCTGGAACCTGGAAGAATAATACTCTTTAGCTATTATTCTTCTAGATCCTGCCACCAATAGATGTCAGGTGTTGATACAAGTTCCTGTGCATGAAGTAAAGCACTGGACAACGGGTGAAAACCTGGGGTATTATTGGACCCTCTACTGTTCTGCATCATCCCATGTTATTATCATATGTCAAGTTTCATCCAGTTACAATCCAAAGGTAGTTTGGCCGTGCAAGAATGCTGGTGGATATTCTTAACAAAACTACAAAAAAGACACACAATCAATAAAGAACACTGGAATACTCTGAGAGTCTTAAAAATACATCTGACTCAAATTTCAACTGTCAAAACAAGCTAAACAAGAAATTAAAATATATACCAGTTCTCTTAGTTATATTCACGTTGCATATCTTCTTAGATAAAAAGACCAATCATTTCTAAGAAATTCTGACTGCCATCTAAATGCTGCCAAGTAGGGAGTAAATGCTTTATTATCAATGATTACATATTACAGATCTATATGTCTTTCCAGGATTTGTAGAGAAGACTGTTTATGATGCAAAGTCTGATTTACCACGGTCGTGCAGCATGGAGAATATACAACCCACTGATGCTAAAGACTCAATGCAAAACTGTTTCTCATCTGCTACAATATATTCTAACTAGAAGTCCACCTCTGTTCATGAATAATATGAGAACACTACGAACATTGAACCCTACTGGTGTTAAGGGAACCAAATCTATAAGCATAACTGAAGCAAATATTGGTCCAAATTCTGAATTTAATGAAATAACAGAGTCTGATGAATTTATAGAACATATCAAGACTGCAGAAGATCGTGAATATATTCTTGAGCTCATTGAGAATAACTATGGAAAACTGAATGAACAACATGTATATGTTATGCTCAACAGACTCTATATCACAGCTAAACAATTAGAGTCTAGTGAATTTGAGGAATTTACCTCAGTTTTACATAAAGACTCTCGCTTCCAAACACTTTGTGTATTACTGGCCAAAAATGGTAGATTCTACAATCACAACTGGGTGTTGAATATCATCTCGAGGCTATCCTTTCTTGGTATTGATAGCGACTCAAACGCAATGCAAGTTTTCCTGCAGCTTTCTAAATTCCTCATCAATGACTTAACATTGCCTCAGGTTGTCCACTATGGATTCATCTTAAGTGCGTTCAAAGAAAACCAACATGTCAACGTCCTAAGGGATGCTCTTAGAAAATGTGCTTTGTTGAAATTTGATGGTGTAGTTGAGCTAAGTTTGAGGCATCTGGCACAGTTTCTTGATCAACATGGGGAGTGTTTAAATAGAACCCAATTAGAAATAGTGAGCCAGGCTATTGTTGCGTCTAAAGATAGATTTAATGTGCCATCATTGCTCGTGATACTGAAATCTATAAGTAGATTAGATTTTTACGATAAAGCCTTAGACAGCTTGTGTACAAGAGAGGCAATATCAAAACTAGATGTACTATTTCCAGTCTCTGTTTTGGATATACTTCAATGTTGCCTCAAACTTAATATGTACCACACAATTCTTTATAGAAACATTTGCCAAAAAGTGATCAATGAACAATGGGGTGTTGAAAACACACTGAAAGTGTGTGACATTCTAACACATTTTAGATTCCGCCATGTGGGTATCGTGAATCACCTTTGTAGCAGCTTGCTAGATGACATAAGTGTATTTGAAGAGCTGACATCAGATGATGTCAGTATGATTGTGAGAGTACTGGGTGAGCTGAATGGGAAAGTGCAGGGTGCGTCAGAAGTGCTTGGCCATATTGTTAGCAGAATGGAAGATTCACTTTGGGTGGCTTTCTCTGTAGGTTAGTATTGTATCTAAGTATATGGAATCTATAGATATTAAATGAACTTGTAACGTCAGCAGGGTAAAGTTGCATTTAATAAAGGGCTTTGTGACAAGATGTTACACATGTACTAAGATCCTTTGTTATGATGCTCTTCTTGTCAAAGTACCTTGGCATCCCTGTTGTGTAGCAGGTATTAGAAGTTTAAATTTTTATCCCATCGAACGAAGTTCGGAGGGATATAGGGAACGCCTCCGTCCGTCCGTACGTACGTCTGTACGTACGTCCGTCCGTCCGTCCGTCTGTCTGTCCATCCGGGCAATAACTCAAATACCGTTAGCCCGATTTTGTTCATATTTTGTACACATATACCCTATGGGGGAAGAAGTTCTGCTCGAAAGCCGATTTTCAAAATGGCCGCTCATTCAAAAATGGCGGCCATTTTAGTGCCGATTTTAATGTAATTTAGGTGCAATATGTAAAACTGTAATAGCAATAGGTTTTAAATGTAAAAAAATTATATAGGACTTTGATAAAGCTAGAAATGTAGATATTAAAGAAGCACATGGCAGCCATCTTGAAAAATGGCGGCCTTTACTCGTTATTTTACGATTTTTGCTGTAACTCAAGAAGTAGTGGAGCGATTTTGTTCATATTTGGTATGTGAATACTATAAGCATGGCTCGCTGTCTAATGACACTTTTGGTAGGAGGCGGCCATTTTGAAAAATGGCCACCATTTTAACGTATTTTACTATAACTCGAAAAGTAGTGGAGCGATTTTGTTCATATTTGGTATGTGAATACTATAAGCATGGCACACTGTCCTATGACACTTTTGGTAGAAGGCGGCCATTTTGAAAAAAATTTTGAAAAATGGCCGACATTTTAACATATTTCACTATAACTTGAAAAGAAGTGGAGCGATTTTGTTCATATTTGGTATGTGAATACTATAAGCATGGCACACTGTCCTATGACACTTTTGGTAGAAGGTGGCCATTTTGAAAACAATTTTGAAAAATGGCCGCCATTTTAACATATTTCACTATAACTCGAAAAGTAGTGGAGCGATTTTGTTCATAATTGATATGTGAATACTTTAAGCATGGCACATTGTCGAATAAAACTTTAGGGAGTAGTCGGCCATTTTGAAAAATGGCCACAATTTTTATGTGTGTTATTTTACAAGCATGTGTGCGATTTTTCAAAAATTTTAGAGGTGGCTACTTAAAAGCATATTATTTCTACTGATGACAACTTGGCTATTGAGCAACCACTTTGAAAATGGTGGCCTTTCTGGTGTGTTGTTTTATGATATTTGCGCTTCGTTTGTAAAAATGCCAGCCATTTCTGTTCGATGGGATTCGCTACGCTTTGGCGTTGCCGTTGTTCTGGTTACATATTGTAAACATAGAACATTGTTCAGACAGTTATGAATACAGACAAAGTTTGAGATTTATCTTTTAGGTGGAATATTGGGCAGAAGTTTGAAGTTAGACAATTGTTGAGTTGACTGGCCTTACCTGCCCTAACAAAGAACATTGTGTATTATAATCTTTAAAGAAAGTTTCAACTTAGTGAATGCATTCTACAGTCAACCTCAAATAATACTTTTCTCATTTTGTTATCTCCATTTTCATGTTTTAGATCAGCTTGCCAGAGTAATGAAAGATCTTGCAATACGAGGAGTATATTCCACTACACTATTTCAATGCTTAGCCATAAAACTACAAACCAAAGATGTCAAAGACATGTGTTCCTCCCCCGACATGGAAGGTAATAATTAACACATTTCTAAATAGAAATTAAATTCAATATTGTATTTATGACAGAGGTCAACCGGCAAAACCATGTTTTTTCTTTAAACAATATGACGTCATGAAACTTATTTTTCAAAAGTAGCGGTCAACATTATACAAATAGTGACTGCCATTGAGGGCAATAGTGTAAATTATTTCCCCGAGTACATATAGTACATTGTAGAGGATATTCCCAAGGGGAAATCATTTACACTATTGCTCGAAATTAGGCAGTCACTATTTGTTTTATTATATACCCTATACTGACTCTTGTCCCGTTTCCTCTGCGAAGGCCAAAAAGGTTTAGAAAGCCCCCTCTCCGGGTGCCGGGTCCATTGTTAGCATTATAAGCTGTGACGTCATCAGATGCTCAACAGAAATTTTTGCCTCTGAGACTCTCACTTGACAAATTCAATCGCGTTTAACACGTGGAATAGATAATAAAATCACTTGAAATTACACAGACGTATTGAGCTTAGGGAACTTTGTACACGTTGCTTATATTGTATCGTTCACGCACGTCTGTCATGGTGAACGGAGTTGATTTGTGTTTGTGCTCATCCTCCATTTTTCTGTTTTTCTTCTGCGCAGTGATGATGCGCAGACGTTTCCAAGGGTAATAGAAGTTGCAATTGTGACGTCAGCGGGCAATAGTTCAAATGTATATTCCCGCTGACGTCACATTTGAGGGAATATAACTTTCCGAGGGAAATAGTAAATCTATTTCGGAACACGTGACTAGGTATTGACCAATCAGGATTAGTGTTACATATTGGGTATATAATAATACCTATTAGTGGTCAACAGTACATATTGTTGACCGCTAATCAACCAATCAGAATCGAGTATTTCAGTTGAGGTACTAACAATATGATTTGTGTCATTTGTGATGTTTGTTCCAAGAGTGACATATTGTAATGTGAGAACACACATTGTTATGTTAAAAGTATACTTGCATTCTTATGATTATGTTTCAAGTTTACTCTCGTGTATATTTCGTTATGTGTTTTCATTAAACAATCACATTGAAATGAATACTGTTGTTTTTTTACATTAAGTTAATGAATAGTATCAAGGTCAGGCCTGATAATTTCCACTTTATTGAAATGTATAACACATGCATTAAGTTGAATACTTTTGTTTTTGAATTTAGTTGCCAGAAATTTAAGACAGTTGACATTCAACCTGTGTTTGTTAAAGATGGCCGCCAGAGTTGAGCACGGAGATTTAACCACAATGAGGTGAGGCTTTTACACTGCACTCCCCTATATATCAATTTTATTGATTTCTTAAAGAGATATTTAAGAGATAATATCCTGAGAATACAGACATCAGATTCGTCAAATCCATAATTTTATTGAAATTTCAAACAAGTTCCCTTGGTAATATTTGTTATTTCTATTTTCTATTATATTTTCTGTCTTGCAATCGTATTCTGATTCAGAAATATAGCTAAAATTTCATTTTGATAATTCTCATTAAAAATCACAAAGCATCTCATATTGGATCACTTACATGAAAAGTTGTTCATGCTAAAAATGGATCTTAGCTGAGAAATAAAGGCGAAGAATTGATCAGACGTACGTTAGCAGACATATGTTTCATTCCAAATATGGCACATGTAAAGATGAGCCTGTCAATTGAATCTGACAATATACACTTGGAGAAAGTCAATTTCACAATTTCACTTTGATTCTTTACATTTCAGAATACCAACTGATCTGGCCCAGCAGTTTTCCCCAAAGCCAAATTCCAAAACCTGGTCTAAAATGAAGAATCTGATCAATTCATCATTTGGTTGTGAAACATTTGTGCGCTCAGGATTGTTAACAAAGTATGGTTTATATATAGACAATGTACTTGTGTTGGATGGCAATAATGACCCTGTTAATCTTTGGATGGAAGAGGGAACCAGTCACCTAGTTGGTACAAGTAAGTACGAATTTACTGTCAAAGTGTTTTGTCAGTACAGTATTTGGGACCAAGAAATGTTCACATTGAGAGTGTTTGGTTAAAAGAGGTCAACTAGTCGATACAAGTAAATATGAATTTAGTCTGAATTAAGTAAGAATTGTACAATATCATATATTTTCTGAATATCATCTACCATAATGCTTACATCTGTCAACTTAAAATGGTGTGTCCTCTAAATAACTAAATAGCATTGTATTTTACTTAAGTATTTCAATTTGTAGAAGCATCATTTTCAGAAGTGGGTTGGTATTCACGCAAACCTTCTTTGTGTGAAAGTGTTTTGTCAGTACAGTAAAACCTGTCTTATTTGCATACCTCCTGTACATGCCGGAAGAGTTTGGATTAACAGGTTTTCACATTTCAAGGTTTTATAAACATGTAAGTCAATTGGGGATGACAATTTGGGACCTAGAAATGTTCACATTGAGAGGTGTTTGTATAAGACAGGTGTTCACATATACAGGTTTCACTGGACATAATCATTTTTGAAAGTTGCTTGCCAGGGGGAGATTTCCCAAAGATGACCCGTACTATTCGGCAGGTTCGATAATTAATTTTATAAACAGGCCTCATTTGCCATTGAAATGGATCTCACAATGTTGAGTATTCTCTACAAGTTTGGATCGAGTAACTTCAATAGTATTACCATAGTTTTGAAATGATGATGTTGAAATGATGTCAAACTGAAATAAACGCCATTTCCAAGATTTCAATTTTTTCTTTACGCATGCGCAGCACTGAATGAGCTAGTGCTCATGATTGTTCATGTGATACATCCTGCAATATGATTGAATCCCCGAATACGATAGAATATGAAAGAATTGTGGGAGCTACTCACTTCTTCTGGTTGTTTAATATATATATCTCTTGTATTATTGAGAATGTGGATGTTTTACATTTTGAATATATTTTGACATCATGGTAAGCTACGCCTATAGATAGCTGACTGACCTTAACATCTTTTAATCTACAGGATGTCAAAAAACAACGGCACCCCCCTCTACAGCAACATGTACTTAATATTACATAATGCGTCATATCTCATTTTAAAGACAATTTAATTCTGGAGTTACTTAAGAAATTTCAGCTTTGTATGATATAATTTTACAGATTTACAGCCGATTGTTAGTAGGTGGTACGGCCACCACTTGCTGCTCGTAAAGCAGCTAATCTGGATGAATATGATTTCAATGAAGATTCGAAGAAAGGTTCAGCATAACGTAAACCTTTAAGCATTTTCCGCATATTCTTCAGAAATACATCCTTACTGTGTCCATTTTCAAGAGGCCCCCTATCCATCAGTTCTCCTACCCGGTCTTTCACGATTGAACATATATACTCAGCGTAGATGAGATCTGGGCTATTTCCTAAATATTAATCATTTCCAAGATTTGACCTTAAACCAGTAACAAAGTAGCAAACAAAGTACTGAAGAAGCAAACTTCGAAACAATGTAGCTTTTTTATTCTAAAGTTTTATTAAATGAAATTTTATGAGTAACTCCAGAATTAAATTATCTTTCAAATGAGATATGACACTCCATGTGACATTAAGGAGTTTTTGCTGTGGAGGGGGGTGCCGTTGTTTTTTGACACCCTGTATTATGTTTTCAGTTGTTAGTGATAATACAGTTTATTTATAGTTGAGTGGCCATCCCAACAGATTTCTTCTCCATCACACCTAAACATCTTATAACCCCCTCCATTCCTTCCCCAAGGCCTCACAGTGACTAAATGGTTATGGTTGTTAGCCACTGATGTGATCATACTGACAGGCTGTCCGCTACGTAATGTTGCCCTTTCATCCTCACCCAAATAGAAATGATGAAAGTGTGGAGTATCATTTGCTAAGTCATATCCAAGATTAATTCTTGTGTTTACAAAGTCTTTAAGATACAAGTAGTCGTGTAGGTCCGGTTTTTTACCATTTGGTAGTTTCTTCATCATATATCCATATTTGGTCATGTCCATGACAATGTCCTTAAGTGCGTGGAGTTCCTTCCATATAGGGCTGCCTTCACTGTGAAGGGGCATTATGGGATACCGTTGACGTACAATTCCCACGTTAGGGATGTTTGGAAGTAGGACTCGTATCCCCGATGATGTCATTGATCGCACGATACCATGCATGTCCAGGACACCTGTTGAAGCTCTGTATGTGTCTGCTTTATCCACATCAACGACTCGTCCCTCAAAAAATTTTGCTGGTGTGTGGTAGTACAGTTGATTATGTGTCCCATTGTATGCAGATGCTTTTGTGAAACCTCCATTGCGCTTACCACCTTTCTCAACAGTCTGTCCTTCAGGGGAGCTGGCATCCCCTTTGTATGGTATATCATATGGATTCCATTTCAACAAGGGAGACATGTAAACAATTTCAAGTGGAATTGCATAAGTCCATCTTTGTCTGTATGTTCTACACACTCTCTTTGATCGCTTCCCCTTGCAATCCTCAACCTCAATAGGTGCAACATTTGGCTGTCGTGTCTTTGCCATGAATATATTTTTGTCTGCAAACCCACGGTGGCGTAATAAAAGTCCCATAGGCCCTTTCTTATCACTCTGATACCAACGGTGGTAATAGCCAACATTTTTCACATAATCAATCTTCAGTTTGTGTGTTTTACGGCCGTATACATTATCCTCATGGTACGCCCCATAGTTATCCTTTCCGGGGATTTCCTCCATTAAGTCATCCAGGAGTTCCCTATGTTGAGCCATTTTATCATTATATAATTTGTAATTAATCCATGGGGTGTCTTTAGTGTTCAGCTGAAACCTCGCCCTTCTTGACTCCAAGTGTTGATCTACATTGTTGTAGAACATCATACGTGTTGCTACATCATCGATCAACCTCAGCCTGTTTGGATTTAGGAATTCCTTTAAAGGATGGCATAATATGCGATAATTCCACTGTGCGGTCACTGGGATAGTGCCATTTACAAGTTCAATGATTTTCCGTGGTAAGAATGCATAATTTTCAAGATTGCTTTTACGTCCTGTGTATGCGTTGAATTGTATCTTTTGTTCAAGATCTTCCCAACTGTTTGCATCTAACCAATTGCGATCACTTTTAAAGGGCTCAGTAATGATGTCATCTGGGTCTGTAGTCCAGGCCCCTTCAAGATAGCATAGAACAGGCTTGAAATATTTCCTGTAATCCCTTTCATAGGTATAATCTGTGTGGAAAGCCTTGAAATATTTTTGCATCTCTTCGATTTGCCCCTTCACTGTTTTCTTTGCTAACACACTTGGCGGGACTTCAGGAAAAGGGATGTCTTCGGTGGCATGATATTCACTTGATGTTCGGCTGGGCATGCGTAATAAGTAGTCATTATGCCTGGTTCTGAATTCCACACCGTTTAATACAGCTTCAAACTCCCCCATACCAAGTGTTCTTTTATGGTTTGAATGATCATGACATGACGCAGCTCCTTTCTTTGATGAATAAGACGGCATGTGGTAGGGCTTTGTACCGCCATTGTTGATTCTACACTGTTTTATTCCGCTGTCTCCTTCGCTGCGTATTCTCTCCTCAAACATGAGTTGTTGCATCATAAGTTGCTTTGCCAGTGTGTTTACAGTTTCATGGAGGGGTATGTTATGAGCCACACAACTCCTCACCAGCAATATGAGGCCCAAATTCAGCAGTAGCATCTTTGTGGTCTTCTACAATAAAGACATGACATTTTAACCCCATTGCTCGATATGATATATCATCTTTGATATTAGAGAAGACATGACATTTTCACCGCATTTCTCGATATGATATATCATCTTTGAACTGGAAGCAAGAAAATTCAAACTTTCATGAAGTCCATTTCTTAAAAGTGTAACACAAAGATTTCTTTGGGATCTATTAAATTGAATGAGATTAACAAATGAGAAGTTATGAGTCTTCTATTAAATGTTAATAACACTCACCCTAATCAATCATATATTTAACTACTGCCCTTTGTTTTCTTCCATTTGGAGGTCTCACCATCTCATTGTGTTGCTCATTGAGAGCTTTCATAAAAACACAACCTTGCTTCCTATTTTTTCCATTCTCTCCATATCTAAGATTGACAAGTATTTGTGAACTCTATACTCAGAGACATACGCAGTTCATAGGACACAGTGGTGGATCAAAGAAAGTAACTGATCTTCACCATAAAACTCATGTTTCTAACCAAGTTCTGTAACAAGATCTAGAAAAGTAGCCATCGTGTGGGTCTGGTTTCTAAATGAGACTATATTGTATTCTATTGAAGGATAATGCTATTGTGAACCATTGTAGTTCTCATTCTTATAAATCTGAATCCTTCACTTTGTATAACTTTTGGTTACCAGCAGCTTTATTCTGCCTGGATGACCTTGTTGCTTTTCAAAGTTTACATTACAACTTTTGTTTATAAACCTAGATTGCTTGACTCCATCAATTACTCTCTTTGTTTTGATAATAACAATATTATGAGGGATTCTCATATGTAACAATATGTAATCAGAATTTAGATTTATACTTTACTCAACACTTTGATTTTTAAGTTATATGTTGATGCAATGCAAAGACTTTATACAACTCATGATCAGCCATTGTTGTGAATATATCAGTGAATCAGTGAATATAACATTTATATTATTTTATTACTGGTTCTAATCATAACTTCACAAACCTCTTGAGCGTACTTTCTTATTTATTTTTATATTTCCCTTTTTACACTTACACTTTTACAGCATAAAATATTTTGTTTAACTCATTATCAAAATTCTTATCATTTTGAAAATTTCATGAAAAATTATGTTAACAAATGTAAATGGTCTTCTTTACATTTTCCAGTTTTTTGTGAAGCTCTATTGTTTCCCTTCAATTACTTAACTTGGTGTTCTTGTTTTTGTTTCAGAGTTTGCACTCAGAAATAAACAAAGTCTACATCCAGTGCCAGAGGACCATAAAGTGTGAGTACATGAAACCTAATTAGATAAAGGGGGTATTTGAGAGCGTTATGTATGTGTACTGACCTGAAGAAATATATAATAGACTTCAATAGAACCAATGGTCTCGGCATATATTTGCTACAAGAGACTCTTTAGTTTTCCCTTGTGCTTTGTCCAACTTAAAGGGGCAACAAGGAGAGAAACTCGAAAAAAAAAAAATTTCTGAGATATCAGGTCAATATTTGGCTTAACATCTTCTTTGACATACCTATTTTCTTAAAATGTATGGATAAACTATCAATTTCAGCACTAAGAAGTGTAAATTCAGTTCAAAGCTTCTATAAAGGGAGTCCCACTTATATATTTTTAAGATCCCACACGTTTCAAGAGGGATATCAGCTGAAATAATGTTCATCCAGGGGGTTTCTTTGAAGATAATAAAAAATATATGCTATTCTTGATGAAATATCCAAACTTAATTATCCCATTGAACGAAGTTCGGAGGGATATAGGGAACGCCTCCATCCGTCCGTCCGTCCGTCCATCCGTACGTATGTCCGTCCGTCCGTCTGGGCAATAACTCAAATACCATTGGCCCGATTTTGTTCATATTTTGTACACATATACCTAATGAGGGTAGAAGTTCTGCTTTAAAACCGATTTTCAAAATGGCCGCTCATTTAAAAATGGCGGCCATTTTAGTGCCGATTTTACAGTAATTTAGGTACTGCATATAAAACTGTAATAGCAATATATTTTAAATGTAAAAAAGTTATATAGGACATTGATTAAGCTAGAAATGTAAATATAGAAGAAATACATGGCAGCCATCTTGAAAAATGGCTGCCTTTGCACGTCATTTTACAATTTTTGCTGTAACTTGAAAAGTAGTGGAGCGATTTTGTTCATATTTGGTATGTGAATTCTTTAAGCATGGCACAATGTCTAAAGACATTTTGGGTAGTAGGCGGCCATTTTGAAGATTATATTACTTTTAAAGATTGTAAATATGTTGTCACCTTGTTTATGTTTATGTTTTATGTTTATTGTATTTATCTAACAATGTAATTAGTTTATATGAAATCCGATTTGAAATCGGGAATAAAAGATACATACATCCATCATATTTGGTATGTGAATACTTTAAGCATGGCACAATGTCTAATGACATTTTGGGTAGTAGGTGGCCATTTTGAAAAATTGCCGTCATTTTTATGTGTGATAGTTTACATTTTTTACTATAACTCAAAAAGTAGTAGAGCGATTTTGTTCATATTTTATATGTGAATACTATAAGCATGGCACACTGTCTAATGACACTTTGGGTAGTAGGCAGCCATTTCAAAAAATGGCTGTCATTTTTACATTTTTTGCTATAACTCGAAAAGTATTGTAGCGATTTTGTTCATATTTGATATGTGAATACTTTAAGCATGGCACATTGTCTAATAAAACTTTGGGGAGTAGTCAGCCATTTTAAAAAATGGCCACCATTTTTATGTGTGTTATTTTACATTTTTTATTATAACTCAAAAAGTAATAGAGCGATTTTGTTCACATTTGATATGTGAATACAAGTAAGGATTGCATACTGTCTAATGAATTTTGGGTAGTAAGCGGCCATTTTAAAATATGGCCAGCATTGGCGATTTTTTAACAATTTTATATGTGGCTACTTAAAAGCATATTGCTTCTTCTGATGACAACTTGGCTAGTGATCAACTTTTTTAAAAATGGTGGCCTTTCATATGGGTGTTATTTTATGATATTTGCTATATTTCGTATGTAAAAATGCCAGCCATTTCTGTTCGATGGGATTCGCTACGCTTTGGCGTTGCCGTTGTTCTGGTTATATTTTGACAATGGTCGATGATCGTTGAATGGCCCCCCTGTTCTAATTATTGCACCTTTAAGGCCAGCCACCATGATATTACTATTGTTCTTTTAGTATGGCTTTATTGTTATTACTTCTCACACATGTATAATTAGTATGTGAAAAATATTGCGCCTCTAGTCGCAAAATGAGGCCCAGACAAGATTCCTTATTTACTAAATAATGTTTTCCATGGCACTTATGCCTCTTAGGATTCTAGAATAAACTACAAACATTTCCTTAATGGTAGATATTGTCAGAAAAGTCTGTAGCTCCAGTGTACAACAAAGCATCACATATTTGACAAAGGAGACAAACTAATTAGTCCAATTCTCTATGAGGCTTTAAGAGGAGATTTATATGTCCCCAGAAATATTTATTCCCTTATTTGTTTGATTTATATTTTTTACAGTGTTGCAGTCCTGATGTTTACAAATAGCCATTTCTATAAGAATATACACATGCTGAGAGGGAGGTTCATGTTCTACATCAGACTCCTCAAACATATGGGATACTCCCCAGTGGTGGTAAGATATAGAGATTATCCTATTGGAGGTTCTGAATATTACATTTATCCAGAGGATGATAAATGCAGATCCCCTTCTGATCATATCCCAGATTATTCTCTCTCTACATATTTCTACCCCTTTTACCAAGTTTTTACCAAACATTTTAATCACACTTTTGCATGGATGCGTGCATCTGTCTGGTTGGGTGTCACATAAATGTTGTCATCAGAATTCCAGAAAAAATGTTTTATATGATCTACATATTTGCCTGGCCCTCTGTTGTTTAGGAATTCATGCAGTGAACTATTTTCTAATATTATATTAATAAATTAAGGGATGATGAAATTAGAATAACCTAATTTATTTCATTTTCAATATTGCTTATAGATATTGTCCCCATGAATTCCAGGTCCGATACAATGAGTTGAAGCACATGCCAGATGTAGAAAGACAACCATATCTCAAGAGACTTATACAAAATGCCAGTGAACTCCAAGATTTCATTCAAGAATGAGACATGTAGAGTGGTGCCAAATGATAAAAGGACTACACAGATTTAAGGCCATAAGAACTACATGTAGTTTCTTTATTCTAATTGCCTTAGTTGAAAAGTGAACTTTGTGCTAGAAAAAATTTATTGCGACTCAAATGTGACCTCTGTACCACACATTGATGATATCTTTGGGAGACGACAAAACCACATTATTTAATCCATCCAGACCCACAGAAGTATGGATTAATATTATGAGTGAGCAGAAGTGGTGGAAATATTCTACCTGGGAACAAAACCCCTGGATCATCATTGGCTAGTCATGACTGGACAGGTTTTTTGAATTGGTTCCATGGCATTTTATTAGTTTCTTTCCACCAATTGAAAAAAAAGAAATTCATCATGTAAAGAGATTTATAGTATGATGTGCTTTGTGAAATTAATAAAGCAAAATTTATATTTAACGAAAATATGTCTTAATTTGTTTGTGTGATATAGCTGGAAATGTGTTTACAGATTTTCAACAGGGTGGCACGTAATTTGCATATTTTCAGCAGCTCTGATGCTGGGGAGATCATTTTGTTTTTATGTCACCACCAAAAAGTGGTGACATATTATGGTCTTCATTTTTGTGACAGCTGTTGTCAATCGGTGGATGGTGGTTGGCGTCTGTAACAAATACCTACAACTTCCAATAAGTTAACAAATACTGTTTAGACTGACTTCATTTTTTTCAAAATCAACTACCAGTTCTCAGAAATTTAAATCTGACTAAGGATTGAACTCATAATATTGTGAGCAACTATCTGTTGTCAAGGAAGAGACAGGGTGGTATTAATATGGGCCATGGCTCCATCTATTTGAATAATTACTCAAAACAGAGTTAGCAGATTTTGGTCATATTTGCAGATTTAAATGGTTGTTTGTCAAACAGTGTTTTCCTAAGGTTAGACCAAGATGATGCTTAATCTTTATTTTACCTGCTTTAGTCAAAAAGTCTCAATGATTCAATTTTTTAGGTGCAAATATAAATTCAACAGCAGGGTGACACAATTTTTGAAATTTCAACAAAGTCATGGGCGTAGCGCCCGGTACGCTGGGTATGCACAGGTGTACCAGATGGTTGCAAATTCGCTCCAAATACAACCAAATTTCAAAATTTTCCTGGGGGAGAACCACCAAAACCCCCTGAATGTTCGATTTTTGATTCACTCAACTCTTGCTCCCATGGTGGTGGCATACTTCTTAGAAAAATAGCGCTACGCCCATGAAAGTGCAATGATTTGCTTCCATGCTGCATTCACAAATGAACAGCACTTTCTGCAAACATGTGTCCGATTACTTTGTCCATACTTGGTACAGTACATGTACTTAGATTAAAACAATTTTCTCTTTAGGTCTTGGTATTCCCATATATTTTGCATGTTTTCTCAAACAATGTAAACAAAACGTTTTCTCGAATGTTTATTTGTATTTCTTATATTTCATTTAAGTTTTGGAGAGTAATATTCTCCTTTAAGACAACGATGCTTATAAAGCTGCACTATTAATAATTTCCAAAATATCTTTGATGCGAGTAGAAATAATCTTGATTTACGTCATTTAAAATTCAAAAGCCAGTCAAACTGATGTCATATATGGAATGTACATGTAAAATTACATCAAGAAATATGGTTTTGAAAAGAGATTATCAACTTTGAAAATTTAATTTTCTTTGAAAATGTGACTTCTAGGTCTACTATTTTCTTTTACTGGACATATTTTAATTTGTATAACTATCAGATACATAAGGATAATATGAAAAGTGAACCAGCAAAACTGATGAATATTCAAGTTTAAGGGAACTTTGTAAAACCCTGCCATGTTATTTCCACTGAAGTAACGATCTTATAAGATCTTATTTTTCCAATGAATCTTTGCCTTGATGTAACCAATTCAGAGCTACATGTACATCAATGTCATCCCACTAAATGTAAACAATTCCGAGCTACATGTACATCAATGTCATTCCACTAAATGTAAACAATTCAGAGCTACATGTACATCAATGTCATCCCACTAAATGTAAACAATTCAGAGCTACATGTACATCAATGTCATCCCACTAAATGTAAACAATTCAGAGCTAAGTGTACATCAATGTCATCCCACTAAATGTAAACAATTCAGAGCTACATGTACATTAATGTCAATCCCACTAAATGTAAACAATTCCGAACTACATGTACATCAATGTCAATCCCACTAAATGTAAACAATTCAGAGCTACATGTACATCAATGTCATCCCATTAAATGTAAACAATTCAGAGCTACATGTACACAATGTCAATCCCACTAAATGTAAACAATTCAGAGCTACATGTACATCAATGTCATCCCACTAAATGTAAACAATTCAGAGCTACATGTACATCAATGTCATCCCACTAAATGTAAACAATTCAGAGCTACATGTACATCAATGTCAATCCCACTAAATGTAAACAATTCAGAGCTACATGTACATCAATGTCATCCCACTAAATGTAAACAATTCCGAACTACATGTACATCAATGTCATCCCACTAAATGTAAACAATTCAGAGCTACATGTACATCAATGTCAATCCCACTAAATGTAAACAATTCAGAGCTACATGTATATCAATGTCAATCCCACTTAAATCTTGAAGAAAACCTTACTTAGGATATCCTCATCAAAGTACCTTTTACCAATGAACATAGCAATGTTCATATATTACTAGTACTTACTCAATGTTATTGAGACACTAAATGAGATTGAATAACATCATCAATCAGCCTGACACTGTCTCAATGGCACCTATTACACAGTAGGGGTAAATTGGTTTGTCACAAAGCATTTTGGCAAATAACTTTGTAACAAAGGACTTTGATTCTGTGTTACATCTCAAAAGTTCTTTGTTTCAAACCTTCTTCGTTAAAATGCTTTGAAACGATGCGATTTAACCTGCCCTGCCATGTAACTCTAACCAATGACTGCCTTCATGTCATTTTTGCTCTTGTATCGTTATATCATTGATCATCAGCATTTTGTTTCACTCTTTGGTTTCTTTCACTTCAGTTTTTGGCTTTAGCCCTCTGATAGTCAAATCATAGACAACCTCTTCTATTTTCTTCACATCATACTTGAGAGCATCAAACCTTTTTCGAAGTGAGTCATTCTTGAGGTTTAATAGTCTAAATCCAGAGTCCAATTCCCCTACAAATTTAGCTATTCTCATTGGTCGAGAGAAGTCTTCAGCAGTAACAGCATTGATTGCAAGTCTGGACTGGAATGACATTTGGAAAATTTGAAGTGAAAGTAATAAACAAACTTTTCCATAAAAAGGTATGTAACATTAATTGCTTTATAGAAAGATGTCGCTGTAATGTATGATATGTCGTCATAGGAAGTCACGTGATACCACGAGGTGGATGTGGACGCAGCCTTCTTGGGATATAATAAACAAATACATTTTACATAATATATATGTCTTTTGTATAATACAACGTGCAAGCAACGTTACAAGGTACATGTATACAAAATGTAGGCCCAGCTTTGACATTGAACATCTTTTCTCTTTAGAGAAATCTCGGATGTGACCAGTAGTAGTAAATAAAATTACATGTAGGGCTTATTTCCTATTCCCTAAAAAGCTGAAACTCATATTGTCAGATCTTACCAGTTCACTTGACATCTGTAGCAGTCCCATTAGGAAGTCTTCGAGATCAATATGAAAGCCATCGTCACGTACTACATGGACTGAAATAAAACATTCACTTTTACAAATATATACACCATTGCTCATTTAAATGGATATTTTTTCACTTTACCATTGATTTCCTTGATTTTAAATTTCAAAAAAATTACTCAAGTCAATGTTCCTCATTTATTTCACATCAACTCATGGATAATATTATACTGGGAGAACATCTTCTGCAGAACAAAAATATTCACCAATTTATAAGAACATCTCTGAAGTATTAATTGGCTAAAATCTCAAAAGCATTCTCAAGGCACAATTTGTTTCAATGTGTTCACAAAAGGATATCTCGCACATATTATACTCTACATACTTGCTAAAACTTCACTTATGCTCTCTCTAGTCACAAGTGTCTCAGTCTCTAAGTACTCGATGAAGGCAACCAGGAAAACCAAGCGCTGAAGAAGGAACCTCCAATGATCATGAAATCTGGAATATTACATGAATATTTTGATAGAAAACTATGAACTGGTAAATGTTTCATATGTTATGCCGTAGTCACATTTGCTCCAATCTTTAACAATGGCACCAGGCCGATGAGTATTTTGCTCAAAACTGAATGCAACTTTGAACAAAATACTCATCGACTGGTTGCCGGCATTGAAGCAAATTGGAGCAAATGTGACAATGACATCCGTGTCACTTGTATGTCAATCATGATAATAATTTCCTGGTCTCTTGATTTTATAATAGAGGAAAAGGTCACCGAACAGAGATCCACTTTTATATCCCCCAATAGTATTATTAAAATTAAAATGAGCCTTGTCATATTTCATGTTTTGCAGTTTTAGTGTACCTTGAAGATGTATAAAGGCAAGGGTTACACAACAGTAAATCTACTTTAATATCCCCAACAGGTATCTTTTACAAATTTACTACACCTGTAATATTGGCCTTGTGGAATGACTGCGATCAATGCTGTTAGTTGTGTCCTGATTATATCAAACTTGGACTTGGCTTTCTCACATATTGCACTACCTGAAAAAGTGGAGAGTCTGATAAACTGAATCCAGATTCTGAACTAATCAACACTTACAAAGCTTGAGTATTGAAGGATACATGTAGGTGTGATAGTAACCACATCCAGGCTTAGCACCATCTTGTTACAATTACTACCATCTTGCTATAGTACCCCTATAGTGTTTAAAGAATGGCATATTAAAGGGATGTATATTTAGTCCAAAACCCATAATATAAAGAGATAATGGATCTATAACTTACATTCTTTTATGCCTTCTGGTTGATGCACAGCCTGCAGTATGGTGAGAATGTCTCTTGCAGTTTGTTCCAGATCACGAACCTTCACACGAATGTCCTAAATAAACCAGTAGCAATTTTCATTTCAAAGGGGGATTGCTTTGTATCATTTAGAGCAATATATTGGGCACATTTTCTCAAAAATTCAAAAGATTCTGTTCAGTGACCTTTCCTACCTCCTACTTTTAGCTATTTTTCAGTCACATTTTCAGAGGGCTGAAAAGGTTATTTCATCATGTTTAGGGTCATTCTGACCATGAACATTGTGATCCTGGACCTGTAAATGGTATTTGGAACTAGTTGAATTGACTGGAGGTCAAAACAGAACTCTGTTATCTTTGTTCAAAAAAATGTCTTAAAAATTTGGTCACTTTCTGTTTTGTCATTTCCTGTTAAGTATCATGGCACCTTAATACATGTCCTAACTTTTGTATATTTTAGTTCGTTTTGTAGTTTAGCTATCATATCTGTGGCCTCTTTTGATGCTTCGCTGCCATATTATTTTCGAAAAAATTTGAGGTGTTTCACTTACAAAGGTGTTCCACTTTACAGCTTTTACCGTATTATTTCACAATAGTCTTTAGATTTCTTATTTCTTAGGTCAACCATGGGCTCTACCACCCTGATAGAGCCCAAAAGCAAGGCAAAAACTGTAAAAATATTGTCAAAGAATTTTATGGGCGATAATAGAGGAAAACTAGCCAAAAATAGAGATAGATCAAGAGATTACTAACAAATTAACAACTGGACGCATCAATACCTCTCTCAGTTCTTGGTCTGCATTTAGAAATTGTCTAAAGTCTGTAAATATATCGCTGGTTGTAGATATTTGAGACATGTTGTTTGTAAATTTTTAACCGGAAGTCAATGAGATGTACATCTAATTAGCGAACAGAGGTTCGTTTGATGATTGAGACATTTGCAAAATGGGCCCGGATCATATACCGGGATCGTATACATTGCATTTGGTCTCTACTTACCCGAGTCTCTAACCAAATTACTTTTAGATAAAGTGGAAAGAATATTTCCCATGTTATTTTCCCATAGAGAAAACTCCATTGCTATCAGCTTATTAGGTCACCCATAATGGATATCTTAAAACCCCTGTCTGAAGGAATTACTTATTCCTTTAAAGGGGTTAACCGTGTGTCAAAACACAATATATTTATGCAACAAAAATCCAACATATGACTGTCCGAAATCTGTTTTTGAAATTTGAGGCTCTACAAAATTTTTGAGGCCCTATAAATTTTTGTTGGTCCACCCATAGGGGAGGAGGGGCCCCATGCCCCCCCCCCCTGGATGCGCCAGTTGGGGGACACATTCAGTCAAATCATGAAAAAAATTGGGCCCTTACACCAAAATTTGGAAAATTAGAGGCCCTATTCATAATTTGCCCCCCCCCCCCCCTTGGGTGAGCCCAGAAAAAAAATTGGGCCCAAAAATGTTTGTTCTTAAGGCCTTAATCAAGGCCTTAAGGACCCAAAAAAGTGGGCCTTTTTGGTCATTACTGGGCATTGTAAGGCCTTATTTTTTAACTTTAGGCCAAATTTTGAAGAAAATGGGCCCTGAAATTTGCCCCCCTTATTGGTTCTTAGATCCGCCTCTGGTATTACAGGTCGCGTAGATTTACGTCGTTGCTTGATTTATAGCAAAAACATTGACTTGTGCATGTTGGTTGCATTGCGCCTTTCTTGATCATATTTTAGAAGGGTATCGGTTACAAAAAATTCTAAAACACCTCATATATTTTACCATACCGTGCCCGTATTAATGTAACAATTCAATAGTAAACTTTCTCATTAAAAATGAATCTTCCAGATTTATTGAATTTTCTTGCAGAAATCGCCTACTCCCCCCCCCCCCCCCCATTCTCCGTCCCATTTTCCGATCACCAGGCGCGCGACTGACTGCAATTGTAAGTTGACACGCAAAGGGTCTAGCTACATGTACAAGCTACATTAAAAAATGTAATGTATTCGACGGTGGCCCAAATTAACGGCCCGAGTCAGTCATAGAGACATCCACAAGTGTCACGCATATTCAATTAAAAGCCCCCCCCCCCCCCCAGGCCGAAAAAGAAGGTCATCTGGATCGAAAAGTCAAAGCGCGGACTTTCTGGAAACACCATTTCCATGTAAATCAATAATTTTCTTGCAGATTAATCATCCATCTAAACATTTGTTTCTTATGACTATGACTCATCTGAGACTTATGTCAGTTATAGATTGATTTATTTAATATTTTGTACGGAGAAGAGTTTACAATGGCATGCAAGAGACGCCCAAAATATTTTTGACCCCTTTGTTAAAGATAGTTTTAATTAACATCTCTAAACGCAGCACTTTTGTTTTGCATAAGTTTGGGATATTAACGACCCCTGAAAATGACAGAGATAATGCAATAAACCACAATGGACTTGGCATATTGGTTATCATTTGGAATATCGACGTTTCTAAACTGCTGTAGCAAATGTGAATGTATTGGAGAATTTGCCACATAAGAACCATGGTAATATTGTGCACATTGTAGATCCAATATCGCAAGGCCTTAATTGAATATACGAAGCTAGAATTCGATACATGTGAAGGTGTTTATATGTAAAAGAGACATTGATACTGGAGATACCTCACGCATTGCATTGTCTGAAAGAATTATAATTTTAGAACAGTAAGGCGAGAGGACCATGTGATTGTTTGAATCGGGATAATCATATGAAGATCAACTGGTTTATGTTTATACGGATAGATAAAAATACAAAAACACATATAGAATTGGTTTATTATTTTAGTTTACGCCTAAATAAGGAGGATTTCACGCTAAAATAGAGGAATAAATGACTAAATACAGGACACTGCGCGTCTAAATACAAAAATACTCAATCAAAATACAGGGTGTTACACACAGACAGAAATCCAGGCAAGAAATAAACGAAACGGCTCCTTCACCAAAACCAGAAAAGAGGATTTACCAGTTCGGGCCATGTGGATGGTTGGCTCAATACAATAATTTAAAGATACCATTATTATTAATATACATAAAGCTGTTATTCTAAACATCAATACACAATGCCAGGGCTTCTAAGGACACCTTCTCCCGTCAGGAAGCCAATGACAGCGCTTGAAATACATAGCAGTTTAGACTCGGTAGTTGAGAACCAAGAACGTATCGTGCAGCGCTACCAGGGTATAAGGAGGGACCTGGAAGACACTGATAAAGAATTGTCAAGGATCCAGAGAGTCCTAGACAGGATGAGTAAACGATTAGAAGAAAGAACCAATGTGATGATTGCATTTGAGCCATGCCCAGAAACAACTGTCTAGGTCATGCCCTGACGGACTGTGTAGGTCATTATAACATACCCTTAGAAACAGTATTAGGGTCTCAGATACAAGTTATACCCCTTAACGACACTTTGGGTTATTATCTTGGCCTTGCCAATGCCATTTTGCCAATATATGCATGCTATCACTGTTTCAAAGACAATGACCAATGACATACATTTAGAATATAACACATGATATTACATTAAATCCAACGAAATTAATTCTGGATTTTTCCATCGTTGTGGTTTGGCAAGGGAACTATGAAAATACGGGGTGCTATCAAAGAGTAGCTGGTTGTTCACGATGGACATCTGATATCTGACATTGATGAGCCTCGTATAAACAATATGGTGCATCAGTTACATCATAATTAGGATCCATTATGGTAAATTAAGATTGCATAGACCACAATATCAAATGCTTTTGTACCCTTTGTCTAGTCATTTCAAATAAAGTACTAGGCAATTATCAATCAATATGACGTTTGATTTTCATCTATCAGGGTAATGCTAAAAAGTATGAACGGATCTTGCCAAGCGATATAATGACTAATATGGAAACTATGCAATATAGATTTCTTCTATCAATTACTTCCATTTGAGTTATTGATAATCTAAAAGGTATCGATTATTTCAATGGTACTCTAACACTCTATGGGATATGTAACTTGTATGCAACTTGATCTATTAAATTATGTACACTCCCCTCCATAAGTTTGGCAATACACTCCTCTCCATAAGTTTGGCAATACACTCCCCTCCATAAGTTTGGCAATACACTCCCCTCCATAAGTTTGGCAATACACTCCTCTACATAAGTTTGGCAATACACTCCCCTCCATAAGTTTGGCAATACACTCCTCTACATAAGTTTGGCAATACTCTCCTCCATAAGTTTGGAAATACACTCTCCTCCATAAGTTTGGCAATACACTCCCCTCCATAAGTTTGGCAATACACTCCCCTCCATAAGTTTGGCAATACACTCCTCTACATAAGTTTGGCAACCAGATCTTTTCATTGGATAGCTTATCAAATCCTTTGATTCTTAATTTTATTCCGTATTTCAATAGTTCGGAAATAAATGACTTTAATGATTTGTTTTAACTCGCCAAACATAAAAAGAGACTTCCTGTTGCGAAACTTATTAGACTATATGGAGGGGAGTGTACTTAGACCATTGTCAATTTTATTATTGGATGTGTTAATTATGGTTTACTTGAAAATGTTATCAGCTCTGTGTCGTGTATTTTCGCATTCAAACGACGAAAACCAGTTTTATGATAATGATGTTCGAATGTTTAAATATTTATTGAAATCCAAATAATGACTTCAACTTTTTTGGTTTTAGATTTTTTAAAACTTAATGATATAATGATAATATAAAACAAATTAAGCCACATAACCAAATATTATTATTTGCCGAAACGGCCCATTTATTTTTTACATTTGTATCATTTTCAGATGCACAATTGGGAACAAGGTCCTATATAGAATCAGTAACTTCACAAAATTCATCAACATTTGTTGGAAAATGTGAATATTCCGGAAAATCGTAACGATTCATATAATCCTATGACTTAACATGGGCTTTCAAGGCTTTCTCTTGAAAGCCCATGGACTTAATAACAATAGGCACTAGGCCTAAACCAGCTTTTGCCAAAGGGAGGACAATTTTCGCCCAAAATTTCATGAAAGTTCTTAAAATGGTGAAACATTGCACGAAAAAATCAAAGCTAGGGGACTGGGTACGACGTCCAATATACTGTAAATTTTTTCATTGTTGTCTATATTTATTTTACCCGTCGCCATGGCACTCAAATATATTGAATTGTGAAAAATAATATAAATAGTTAATTGAACTTAATTTCGATTTACTTGTGAAGGGAATGTCCGTCTACTTATGAAAATGGCTGCTACAAAGCCAACTTAAAATCACCGGGGTCGACATGTTTGTCATGGTTGGACGGCATACTTGATCTTCAACGTTAGGTAAAATGATGACAAAAACTATCTGGTTGAGAATATCATTCGAATTTTTGTGTGTAATAAACAAGGCATAACAAATAGATGGCACCACCTGGTTGCAAATACAAAAGTGTGACCGTTGTTATAGACGCCGAATGCCAATGCTGACGTCAATGCTACGTGCGCCGTCATAACAATTGTGGCAAAATATACCCAAATAAACTGCAATAAAGGGGACAGATTTTCGATTAATGTCTAGATTAATTTCTCAACTTTGTAGTATTTTGCTATAATTCTATTAACGTTTTGTCCAAAAGTTGACTTGACATTTGACACTCGCCATCTATGACTATAGTCGATGAAAACTAGTTCCTGGTTTAATGAACGATGCAATCGACCTCTCCATTCCGACAGAAACTGAAACAAACGAAGCACACAATTACGAACGAGTACAGACAATAACCAAGTGGGAGTACACGTCCCGGCTGCTCCACCATTACATACCCGGACATGTTTCTAGATACATACCTACATGTATAGCTAGTTCAATGTACATACCTATAGCTAGTTTAATGTTTTATTGCCAAATATGTTGAGGCAACCGTCTTATGAATCCTGAACACATAATTCCACGTATTATCTAGAAATTATGGTTTGTATACAAGGTGTCCAAAATGTATAACCGGATGAATTGAAAAGGCCGAATTTTTTCCTACATCGAAAAAAGTAGATAAAAGAATTAATTTTTCAATTAGCAGTAAAATTTCACAGAAACGTATGAATTACTATAGTACTACAGCTGTACCATGCTCTAAATTAACCGTACTCCATCGTGTTTGATGCGGAACTGGTGCAACTTCCAGATGATGATAATTGTCATCACTCAAAGTAGAGTTATTTCGTGCATTGCCCAGAATTTTTCCAAAAATACTATGGGGATGCTCAAAACCTTGACTTCCCGGTTTTTAAAAGTCAATGGGATTTCCTCAGTTGAAAACTTTTGAACGTTAACAGAAAGCGGGACTTTGAAATGGCACCTTATTCATCTCAGGTTCCTGTAACTAGGTACTAATGCCTATCAATCTAACCCACTTTGAACAATCTAGGTGTCACAAATTTTCGGCGAAATAACTTTGAAATAAATTAACAAAAATCACCTATTACGCCATTGAAGTCAATGCAAAATGACGTCAAAATGATGAAAGGAGTAAACTTCAACGGTGTGGTAGGAGTAGTAAAATACACGCGGAGCCTTATTCATCTCAGGTTTCTGTTACGTTGAAAGACGAATTTTCCAAATCCATTTAGAGTAAATTACTGGCACAAAACACTTTTCGGCGAAATAATTTTGGAATTATCCAACTTTTGGTGATATAACTGATTCATTACATTGGAATGACGTCAAAATAAAATAAGACAATCTCAGTTTCTATGGCACTGACGTCATGACGTCAGATTTATCTTAAGATCTCAAATATGACGTCATGTTTAATCAATGAATGACATCTATCGGCTATTCGACCAATTCTGTGCAATGGTATATCTCGGTACAATTTTTTGGACACCCTGTAGAAGTCGTTCATATCTGTTTAGTCGGACTATGATTTTGTGTAAACGTACCAGTTATTATTCTCATAGCGGAAGGTGTCGCCAGTGGTGTAGGTAGTCCCTTCAAAAAGACAAGTAGTGGTAGTTGGAACTGCGTCGTCTGCAATATCTTCTGGTTCCTCAACGCCATCTATATATCAAAACATCTTCAGCAATACATCTCCGTCTCTTGAACAGGAGTAGTATATGGCGTCCATTTCGACCTGCAACCGGCACCGGTACTTGTGCACCATGGTGCACCGGAAGTGACGCAATAGGTCAGGTGCACCGGAAGTGACGTCATAGATCACGTGGTAAGGTGATGCACCGGAAGTGGAAGTGACGTCATAGGTCACATGGTTACTGATATAACTGGTCAAAGGTTACTGATAAGAGAGAGATAATAAACTGATAACACACTGAAAAAGATGGTCAAAGGTTACTGATAATTGATAAGAGAGAGATAATAAACTGATAAGACAGTGAAAAAGATAACTACCATGGTTTCTGATATAACTGGACAAAGGTTACTGATAATTGATAAAAGAACATAGGTTTGAGTTGAATGCACAGAAATGATGTCATACGTCACATGGTTACTGATATAACTGGTCAAAGGTTACTGATAACTGATAAGAGAGAGCTCAATTGATAAGATAATCAAACAAACACTGTTAAGGTAACCTGGTGACTATGTGATAAACTATCTTGTCTACTTCATGGATGTTTCATTGTTATAGGTAAAAGGTGGATAACAAACTGATAAAACAGTAAAAAAGATAACTGCAGAAACATTTCAACCAATCAGGTTTTGACTTGCAGAATTATTTTAACCAATCAGAGTACAGTATGTTTTAACCAATCAGAGTACAGTATATTTTAACCAATCAGGTTTCGAGATGCAGAATTATTTTAACCAATCAGGGGATAGTATGCTTGTATAATTCGAATCAATCGAGGGACAGTATATTTTCATCCAATCAGAAAATGGCAAAATCAACCAATGAGAGAAATGTTCCAACAATCAGATTATAACTTGCAGAATTATTTTAACCAAACATAGTACAGCATGGTAGAAATTTGACCATTTAGAGATATGTTCCACCACTAAACCAGTTCAGAAATTATAAATGCCAGTTCAGACCGGTATTGTTATAACCAAAAAGTCTCCTGAGTTATTTAAGAATATTTTTTAAATTGTCACTGTTGATCAATTTCTGCTTATTTTTTTCACCAAACGATCACTTGATTCTTACTCCCGAGTAATTTTAGAGCATTTTTACAATCTTCACGCTTGAGTGATTTTGGGTGATTCGTGGAGTTTGAGGCATTCTTTTACCAAACGATCACTTGATTCTTACTCCTAAGTCATTTAAGAGTATTTTTTCAGTCGTCATGGTTGAGTGATTTCAGTCACTGTTGATCGATTTCTGCTAATTTTTGGAGTTTAAGGCATTTTCACAAAATAGACACCCACCCACTATACAAAATAACACCCTTTAATAGGCATCTGTTAATTTAACATGCCACTGATAAAAATATAAACCCCTACAAAATAAATAAAAAATGCTAACGTTAACAGTTTTACAGCAGAACATTTTCGACCAATCAAAGTGTATATGCAAATGAGCTGCAGAACCATTTCAATCAATCAGATCAGATTTTTGCACTCTTTGACCCCACCGCCGCCGCCGCCACCGCCGCCGCCACCGCCGCCGCCGCAACCGCCGCCGCCGCCGCCACCGCCGCCGCCGCCGCCACCGCCGCCGCCGCCACCGCCGCCGCCGCCGCCGCCACCGCCGCCACCGCCGCCACCCGTTGTGCCTTTAATGGCAGGTGATATTTATATTTAAATAAGTTTTCTATCAAATTGCAATCAGACCCGGTAAAAAGTAAAGATGGCGGCGGCGGCGGCGGCGGTGGCGGCGGCGGCGGTGGCGGCGGCGGCGGCGGCGGTGGCGGCGGCGGCGGGGGCGGCGGCGGCGGTGGGGTCAAAGAGTGCAAAAATCTGATCTGATTGATTGAAATGGTTCTGCAGCTCATTTGCATATACACTTTGATTGGTCGAAAATGTTCTGCTGTAAAACTGTTAACGTTAGCATTTTTTATTTATTTTGTAGGGGTTTATATTTTTATCAGTGGCATGTTAAATTAACAGATGCCTATTAAAGGGTGTTATTTTGTATAGTGGGTGGGTGTCTATTTTGTGAAAATGCCTTAAACTCCAAAAATTAGCAGAAATCGATCAACAGTGACTGAAATCACTCAACCATGACGACTGAAAAAATACTCTTAAATGACTTAGGAGTAAGAATCAAGTGATCGTTTGGTAAAAGAATGCCTCAAACTCCACGAATCACCCAAAATCACTCAAGCGTGAAGATTGTAAAAATGCTCTAAAATTACTCGGGAGTAAGAATCAAGTGATCGTTTGGTGAAAAAAATAAGCAGAAATTGATCAACAGTGACAATTTAAAAAATATTCTTAAATAACTCAGGAGACTTTTTGGTTATAACAATACCGGTCTGAACTGGCATTTATAATTTCTGAACTGGTTTAGTGGTGGAACATATCTCTAAATGGTCAAATTTCTACCATGCTGTACTATGTTTGGTTAAAATAATTCTGCAAGTTATAATCTGATTGTTGGAACATTTCTCTCATTGGTTGATTTTGCCATTTTCTGATTGGATGAAAATATACTGTCCCTCGATTGATTCGAATTATACAAGCATACTATCCCCTGATTGGTTAAAATAATTCTGCATCTCGAAACCTGATTGGTTAAAATATACTGTACTCTGATTGGTTAAAACATACTGTACTCTGATTGGTTAAAATAATTCTGCAAGTCAAAACCTGATTGGTTGAAATGTTTCTGCAGTTATCTTTTTTACTGTTTTATCAGTTTGTTATCCACCTTTTACCTATAACAATGAAACATCCATGAAGTAGACAAGATAGTTTATCACATAGTCACCAGGTTACCTTAACAGTGTTTGTTTGATTATCTTATCAATTGAGCTCTCTCTTATCAGTTATCAGTAACCTTTGACCAGTTATATCAGTAACCATGTGACGTATGACATCATTTCTGTGCATTCAACTCAAACCTATGTTCTTTTATCAATTATCAGTAACCTTTGTCCAGTTATATCAGAAACCATGGTAGTTATCTTTTTCACTGTCTTATCAGTTTATTATCTCTCTCTTATCAATTATCAGTAACATTTGACCATCTTTTTCAGTGTGTTATCAGTTTATTATCTCTCTCTTATCAGTAACCTTTGACCAGTTATATCAGTAACCATGTGACCTATGACGTCACTTCCACTTCCGGTGCATCACCTTACCACGTGATCTATGACGTCACTTCCGGTGCACCTGACCTATTGCGTCACTTCCGGTGCACCATGGTGCACAAGTACCGGTGCCGGTTGCAGGTCGAAATGGACGCCATATACTACTAACAGGTTCTCAACCATGTGTTGAACTCCCGGATCAAGTGTTAAACCAAAGCAATATTAACCCTTACAGAAGGGAAAACGTCTATGGGAAACATAAACATGGCCACATGGGTCATGTGCAGGAGTAAAATCGTTAACGGTTTGATCATTCAGAACTAAACAGTGGAAAATGAAACTTCCGAGACAAACTATGAACAAAATCCATGCATAGTTAAATGAAACACTTTGATCAACTGTGTAGCCCCTGCTGCTTTACCGTATTATGGACGTTAGATTCAACTTAGCATCTAATATAACAATATCAATTTCCATTTCCCGGATTTCCTACCTTCAAGGACGCAGTGACCAGTATCCGGAATGCCATTGTCAAGGTCACCTAAATGGTCAATCTGACATCTGTAACCAGTTGGACAGAAGAGGTTTTCTGTCTCATAATCCTCGAGCTCTTCATCAGATTCAGAATCGCCTTCTTCTGGCTGAACCGAACCTGAGTTCATAACACTACACAGCTCGACTAAAACCAAGAATAATGTCAACGTGTCTTAGACTATAGAGGATAAATAAAATCCCATTCCCCGAGGATATCTTTTAGATGTGCGAAATCAAACTATTTAAAAGAATACAAAAATATTAAATAGGAATGCACGATTCAAACAATTAACCATTTGGTAGTTGGATTTTTAGTAAGACTTCCACAAAATCCACAATCTGTACATTTATTTCATATTTAAACCCCCCCCCCATAAAAGGACTTTTAACTTTCTAGGTCAGTAGACCAAAACTGTAAAATCATTTTGGAATATTCCGAGTGGTAGTTCGTCTACTGCTGAACGATGGGCTTCAATGAGGGAAAATGAAGCTTGAGCATTGAAAGAACAAGTCAAAGGCACGGCAAAGGGTAGCTTTGTATAGCCTGGCACCCAGACTTTATTTTGACTACTACCATACATTGGGAAAACAAAGCACTGGTGCTGAAACAGTTATTCCCAATTCGTAAATACCGACACAATATGTATGATTTTAAAAGCCCATATGATCAATGAAGTACCTTCCACATCTTGGACTGGGCCAGGCACCAACCAGGCTTTTCCAGTATCAATGATTCGAGGAGGTTCACTTAGCCAATCAAACACTGAAGACATAAAGAGATGCATTCAATTAGTAGATAGTAACCCAATCCCTTGGATAAAGTTCTTGGATAAAGTAAAAAGCTGGATTCGTAGCTATTGGTCAATTTTGAATTTGAAGATATTTCCTAAATCTTTTTTAGAACAGATACTTTATACATGAGTATTTTGCGGTTACAAAAGGAGAATGAGAAAAATTTGAATGTGTATTGTGGATTCGGGTCCAGCGATATCTGGTTAGTATACAAAATCATAACTTTTGAATTGGTTGATGTTCCCTTAATGAGGTTACATTTATTTGTGGTATTACTATACCAAAATATTAAATAAAAAACACTAACCCGGTGGAGGGTGGCCTTCCTCCATGGCAGCTACTTCTTGATCACCACCCTTTTCTTCCTATGGAGTAAATATAGAAAAATTGATGAACCACAACAAAGGGCAATAATTGAAAGTTAAAATCAATTTAAAGCCATCCCAACGCAATGGATTGCAAAACCAAATCGACATTCAGTGTGTCCCAAATAAACGCCTAAAAACGAGTAAAAACATTGCCATGCCAGTGATGATTACATCGATTTCGTTTAGGTTACCATGACGCCATGTGCCTCATCTTTCCAATGGTATGACATTTATTCATATATGACCACAGACAACTGAATGATAATTCCTTTTGCACAACGGGCCAAAATCTGCTCTGGACCAAGTTTTAGAACTTGCACAGAGATCGAATCACCAATGCGGTTGCAACTCTCCGCCAGTGTTGTGACATGGAGTGACGAGCTAATCTCTGTGTGTAGAGAAATGGTGACCATGTGAAGGGGGAATCACCATTTGCATTCGTTTGACTTCACTTCTTAAAAGAGAGCTTCGTCTTGTAGTTTAACTAGACTCTGCACGCAGGGTAACGGGGAATGTAATCTTTCTTGAATAATCTTTCATTAGAAAACAGATAATGATTGGGACTGTTTATGCCACTTTTCCCATAATGTTTGAAACGTTAACTGGACCATAAACAGATAAAGGATACTGATGAACACTCAAAGTTATATACTTTTTCTGAGTAAATCTAAATCCTAAATCTGAAACTTTTGTTATGTCTTGTGACCAGAATTTAATTCCCAGCCCCAATTACAAAATTATTTAACTGATTGCACAATAAGGATCAGTTGATTTATGATACAGGCCTTTTCACCCATGCGCGAAGAAACAATGTTTTTCAGTGATCCATGATCACATATGAACAAATGACATATCATTGGAAAGAAGAGACATGGGGTTTCATGGTAAACTAGATGAAATTGATGTTATCATCACTAGTTTTTTTGTTTTACAATGTTTTTGCTTGTTGCGTTTTTTTGGGACGCACTGTACACGTAATACACGTAATACTGTAAATGATATTACAGTGTTTAATTGATTTTTTAAGAATTCCACTTTACCAAGAAGTACAGTGTTCCTTGGAAGTACTGGTCTATGAGTGGAATTCTTTCAATCACTATCATTGCTCACATGATATAGCAACATTACTCACATGATATAGCCTCATTACTCACATGATACAGCTTCACTACTCACATGATACAGCCTCATTACTCACATGACACATCCTCATTACTCACATGACACAGCCTCATTGCTCACATGATATAACCTCATTACTTACATGATACAGCCTCATTACTCACATGACACAGCCTCATTACTCGCATGACACAGCCTCATTGCTCACATGATATAACCTCATTACTTACATGATACAGCCTCATTACTCACATGACACAGTCTCATTACTCACATGACACAGCCTCATTGCTCAAATGATATAGCCTCATTACTTACATGATACAGCCTCATTACTCACATGACACATCCTCATTGCTCACGTGATACAGCCTCCTTGCTCACATGATATAACCTCATTACTTACATGATACAGCCTCATTACTCACATGACACATCCTCATTACTCACATGATACAGCCTCGTTGATCACATGATATAGCCTCATTACTTACATGATACAGCTTCACTACTCACATGATACAGCCTCATTGCTCACATGACACAGCCTCATTGCTCATATGATACAGCCTCATTACTCACATGATATAGCCTCATTACTTACATGATACAGCTTCACTACTCACATGATACAGCCTCATTGCTCACATGACACAGCCTCATTGCTCACATGACACAGCCTCATTGCTCACATGATATAACCTCATTACTCACATGATATAGCCTCATTACTTACATGATACAGCTTCACTACTCACATGATACAGCCTCATTACTCACATGACACAGCCTCATTGCTCACATGACACAGCCTCATTGCTCACATGATATAACCTCATTACTTACATGATACAGCCTCATTACTCACATGACACAGCCTCATTACTCACATGACACAGCCTCATTACTCACATGACACAGCCTCATTACTCACATGACACAGCCTCATTACTCACATGATATAGCCTCATTACTTACATGATATAACCTCATTACTTACATGATACAGCCTCATTACTCACATGACACAGCCTCATTACTCACATGACACAGCCTCATTACTCACATGACACAGCCTCATTACTCACATGACACAGCCTCATTACTCACATGACACAGCCTCATTACTTACATGATACAGCCTCATTACTCACATGACACAGCCTCATTGCTCACATGATACAGCCTCATTGCACATATGATACAGACTCATTACTCACATGATATAGCCTCATTGCTCAAGTGATACAGCCTCATTACTCACACGATACAGCCTCATTACTCACATGATACAGCCAATTTGAAATATTGGTTATGTATTGGTAAGTTGTTCTCTTCAGAACTTCATTCCAGAAAACTTAACGAACAGATAGTCTAAAAAACATTAACTAGACTTTTGAACGAGTTTGTAAAAAAATGTAAAAACGCCTTTTGATTTATCAGAATTCCTCTTTATTTATCTTAAACTTCTTGAGATAGTAAAAGAGGCCGTGAAACCTACAATGATGAAACCTCAATTCATTAGAATTCAAGAGCACATTGGATATGTTTATGAAATGCGATAGATTTAATTGATCAAATTTCGCATGTTGGTGTGAACTCACAAGGAGGACCAACAGATGACTTGCGAGAAATCGAAGGCATTGCTATATTGTATAACTTTGGTTTGAACTAATCCTGAGGTACTAATCGAGTATTTCAGGACCTGAGAAAGACCATACTTTAGCTAACCGGTGGTTTGACCATGAATACCTAGAGATGACCATCCGTTTAAACAAAACTTTTAATTTGCAAAAGCCTAACATAACATTCGATCAATTAATCAATCGAGTAAACTACAAGAGTTCAAGTGTACGAGTACGTGTATGTTACTTAAATGAATACAAAAATGTCATGTCACGATGACTTGGGAGATAGCCAAAAGCAAACATGTATACTTAGTTCATCAATAATTTGTTTTGTAAATTATGGGAAAATATTTAAGGGATGCATTTGTATGGGCGATCGGTCATACGTATAGGTTGGCGTTTCGATTTTATATGCAAGCTCAAACTCCCCAATGTCTTACTTTGCTACGCGATCTTGTGTTCAAGTATCATATGCATGATATGGAAGACGATATGAATTGATTCCTGTGAGTCACTCGTGTTTGTCATTAATTGTGTGTATGTTATAATGGATGAAAATCAACAAATGTAATAAATATGTTCTAAATCCTAAAAATGCTTATCCATTGTTTGAGAGAAATATTCTTCGTCATGATCAAGTTGTTCCCCATTATTGTAAAAGAAGAACACAAGCCGAAAATCTGATTCGGAATTTACTTCATAAATTATTTTCCATCAACTTTTGTTTTCACAGTGGGTGTACTTTGCTACACGAGGGGCCATTCACATTCAAAAGTTGATAGAAAATAGTTTATGAAGTAAATTATTAATGAATGTTAAGATTTGCGATACATTGTAAATGACAATACATTTGATTAGAATTTGTGTTAGAAAAATAAACAAGTGTAAATAGAGGTTCTAAATCCGAAAAGTTGGTCTTTACAGTGTTTGTCTTGGAAACTTGACACGTAACATATTACCGTCTTCTTACTATAACGTAATGTACGTGAAATATTCCTGATCCCTACGCTTGGATCATAAAAGTGAACGGCCTTTTTCTTAAACTAACACTACTGGCCAGTTATATTAAACGAACTCGTTGAAAAACAAAACAAATGTTGAGACAATTATAGTATCTGTGATTATCTTGACCAGTATCTGTGATTATCTTGACCAGCGAAATACCACGGCATAGATCACGGGGGATAAGCAAAACGAGGGCGAAGCCACGGACTGCGACTCGCGTAATTCAAAACGAGATTACAACGCATTATAGCTGAACAATGGCGGTAAGTCCAAACTTAATTTGGAAGGCATGTTAGGATTTGGGGTAGATTATTGGTTTGGATATTCTACAGAATAGCTAGTATGTTCCAGTCGGTGATCAACATATTCATACTCCACCTGCAATGGCATTCTTGGTGCTCGGCTGTCCAATAGTTTAGCATGAACACAAATGAATTCGAAATCTGCCACAAAAAATGTAATTTTGTCAATATTTGTCCCTAATATACCGATTTAAACAAAGGAATCAGAAATGACATCGAATTAATATAATTATTCATGTTCTGTTGTTACAATTACATCTTCGTGTGATATTTGGTAAGCGGAAAACGTACAATTACATAGACAATTGGAATTTTTGATAGTCGCAGTCCATCCATCTGTCCAACGCAGTCCGCGACTCAGTGTTGCTTTATATCTGAAGCTGAACGCAATCACAGCCAAAGGTAGATAGCACAATGTGTGTACAGGTGTGGCCGAAATGGAGCAACTTTGGACAAAATTGAATATAAAGGGCTATTTTAATAGACCTACATCGTGTCTCAATCCATTCTGCAAATATATACAAGCTGTCAAATACAGCTGAAATCATGAATTTATGGTAGCTAGCAATATTGATGGACTGTTGGAAAGATCATCCAAAATTACATTAACTCACCAACTCTCCAATTATTTGATATTTTCCTGATATCTTAAATACTAGTTAATGTACCCTTCCCCAACAGCTTTTATTGCATCATCAAAAAGTTAATTGTTTCGCATTTCTACTTCTTATAAAAAGTCTCACCACTATCCAATTATCTATATATTTAACCCTATCCACAAATTGGTTTGTAATAAACATATTACGTTGTCATCTTGCGCTCGACTGTTCTGCCAAATACGCTATTGAATTGCCATATTTCTAGGTCTTAAACGATACAATATAGCAATTTGGGACATTGATTCAGGTAATAGATATATGTTAATCAACGTAACTTTGAATGATAATCTGGATGCTGACTTTCTTTTCCTGAAACAATAATAGCGTAGGAATATAGTTTACACTTTCTTATTTATTTCGTGTTCGCGGCTCGACTGCGTTGCTTAGAATATCAATGGAGGCTGTGTTGCGTTGTTGAAATAGCTTTGTTTACTGGACTGCGTCCACTATGAATGCGCAGTTTGAATCTAATTTTCTCCTCATGAACACATTCTATTAACAAATCATTTTCACGAATTATACTCGGAGCCTCAACTAACCTTTAGATATCAGAAACGTGTTAAAACTCCTTTCAAGTGTATAGTAAATTAAATAATATGCACATATTTTACAGGTAAAATCAGAACTTTGCTACTGTTTTAGCTTGATCTGGACAACTGCTTATTTTCTTATCTACAGACCAACAGTAGATACAGAGTAATATTTTGGTCACCGATTAGACACTACGATAGCATTTAAAATTCCTGGATTTCTCTATTTTGTCGGAAGAAGCAGAAGGCACTGCCGAATGTCCCTCCATTTTGGCGCTGGGCTGCGGTGTAAAGTTACGCGAGTCGCAGTCCGTGGCTTCGCCCTCGTTTTGCTTATCCCCCGTGTAGATGTAATGCAGGCTTTGATGTCGGCCAGAAAATATATTTTCTAAAAATCAATAGCCTCGAGTTCTTTTACATGACTCAGAACCCTCCTTCTTATTTATTTCATTATAATCATAGCCACTCCACCACCATATTGTGGTGTTTGTGAAGCATTGCCACAATCAAGTAGCCACACCTACAGTATCCCATTGTCTACAATCAAGTAGCCACATCTACAGTATCCCATTGTCTCCCGAGGGACCAAAGTATTACCCTCTTCCACTTAAATATGGACATTCTGTAAGTTCATGATTTTAAGAGCATTTACATTTATTGCACTAACAGTTACCCATTCATATTTTACCTGATCAATATCTAAAGAACGCCCTGGTGAAGTTGATGCTACACTCCTTGTAGACGCTGGTGATACAACCATGGCCCAAAACACAAGCAAAGATACAATTATCGAAGCCATAATAATCCAAATCCAACGGAATTCCTGAGTTAGCTTTCAAGAAAGCAAGATATCATGACAATATCCTGAGGTAGGTATAGGCTATATTCCAATTAAAAGAGATATTCGAATTCCACTGGGAGCTCAAGTTAGACTCCGTTGCGTCTACAGATAGTCAAATGGCCGTCTGCTTTTTCTGGGTCACCCTGACTTTTGTTTACCTTAGCACTTCTTGGATTTTCTCCGAGTTCTTATCTGTACAGCAGAAACTCTAAGACATTTTATATCTGCCAAGTTGTTACGTATCTCCTGTTATTTATAAATCCCTGTACTAACACTATCTCTAATTGATTTTAATGTACCCAAAACCACTTATCCTTGTCTATGGGAGGCTACTAGGAGGTACTAGTACACGGGTCATTCTTTGATCCTCAGGATTTTTACCTCAAGCATCTTACTGACAGTATTAGTCCTGTGAGTGAGTGGCTCGGTCATTAAAGCAATCCAAGAGATTTCAAGTAGCAAGCTACTTATCCATTGTCCTAGGGAAGTTATTAGGGGGTAAACTGATATCGTTTTGATTCACGGAATTATTACAAGAATCATATTAGTCCCGTCCGTCTGTAACTTGATCATTAGAGCAATCCATGAGATTCCAAGTAAGAAACCGCTTAGCCTCGTCCACGGGAGGTTATTAGGGGGAATACTGATAATTTCAAGATTCTCGGAATTATTACAAGTTTCATATTGTTCCCTTTCGTCTGTGAGTAACTGGATCATTAGAGCATTCCACATGATCTCAAGTAATGCTGAGCGTTCTAATAACCGACTATAGTCCTGGACCGAGCGCAATCTGGTACGGGATAAGATGTAATAACTTTTTAAATTGGAAAGACAAATGGTGATAGATTAAAACCGAAATGGGTACAATAAGAATCTCGTCAATCCATTTAACTATGATAAAATTAACAAATTAACAGAATTTCTCATAGCAGCAAAACAAAAAATAGGAAAACGTACATTTCAATGGAGGAAGCCACGAAGGTGATCATATTTTATTTCCTATAATATTCAGCATGGGTAAATCGACGATGTTTTAGGTAGTTGTATAATTTGAGCGTCGGTTCATAGAGCATGAATGTGAATTATCAGGCCTCGATACAACTATCATGAGAATCTTCGGTCGAATACGTCACTTATTTTGGCATTACGCAGACGATAAACACCTTGTATCAACTTTCAACAAAAAACTTAGAGTTCTTATATGCAAACTATCGGGGGGCCACTTTGCCAATATTTGATCCTGTAAACAGTTTTTATTTGAGGAAATTGTTGTGGTAGACTCTAATTAAATATTTTGAATGTAGGTCCTTATTTTTCAATGTTTGAGGTTATTCTAATCAGATATTGCAATCAAGTTGAGTTAATGTTTACTTGTGAACAAATCGAAGCTGTGTCTGTGTTTACATCGAGAATATGGGATGATATCAGAATCTCATTCAATGGAATTTTGTGCAAAGGGTCGTAGTTGTTGGGGATAGAGGCCTATGCCCATGATGCCCCAGAGAATCCATGGCTGAATCACTGTGATGCAAATCCCAGAATCCATCCTTAGGCCTAAATTTTGTTTTACGCAAGTTTAAGAAGAAAATAGTTTTGTGATTTAATAATCCAACCCGAAGACCATTTTTAAGAACACTGTAGCCTTTTGAACGAGACATCTTGGCCAATTATCCAAAATGGCACAAACCTGACAAAAGGCTCCATTCTTCATCCCAGGGATTGAACGAGGGTCGTGTCAGGCTCTACCGCTGAGTTTTACATATCATTTATATCCCTTTCCGTTTCTTGCGAAGTATCACTGGCTGGCTATAGAAGTGATTGCCATTTCTGAGGTGCAGCACACTCCCTTAAATAATTTAACAACATCAATTTTCCATTGCCCAATATTATTGGAGGAGGCCTTTTCAAATTCATGGTTGTCATATTTATTGTAGGGCCTCAATTAGTGGGCCTATTTTGGGCCTTAGGCATATTCTTTAGGTCAAATTATCAATAATGCCTTATGGGCCGCAAATTTTCAAAAGTTGGGCCCAACAATTTGTGATTTAAGGGGCCCATAATGTTGGGGTGGGAGCAAGGGGACCAAAGAACCGGATTCAATAGTGTGGTTTCATTGCTCCCTGTCTACCCAAGGTCTACCTAAGCCTGTCAATCACCTTAAATCAGCACGAAACTTTGTTGAATTGTAAGACTGGCCACTTTATCAAGATAAACTAACTACTAAACCCCGGGTACTAGACTAAAACTACTATTAAAAGTCAATTTGAACTTTCCCGCGGTTTTTAGTGAGTAATAGCGTAACCGGGCAGAGACTGTGTTCCTGTTGATTTGTGTAAGTTTTATTTTTATTTACATAGGACTTCTTGCGTATTTTCTCTTACAGGACATAATTCCAACAGCTATAGAACAGCTGACCTCTACGGTGGCCCACCTGGTAGAACAATAGTTCACAACTTTGCATCCTGAAATAATCTAAGTCCAAGAAGTGGGTGAAAAGACTGTTACAGTAAGTGGGGTGTTTTTAAATTTCTCAACTGGTCATTGTGAAGAAAAGAAAGCTTAACTTTAATTTTTGTCCCTAAATCTTGACACTGATGAGATTTGTATACTACCCTGTCAACCCTGTAGTCGTGATTGTCACGCATTTGCTGGAAAAAATGAAATCACACATCAATTTTGCGTGTTTGATAAAATGTCACGCAAATCGCGCATTATGTTGATATTCAAAAAAAATTGCTTTTTATAAAGGGCTATAAAGTGCCGATAGCAGGCCTGTCAACTTGGGAAACCTAACATGAGTGACTTGGAAATGTTGAACACCTCCCCTCTAAATGTGGACACCTTGGTCCAAATCTGAACACCTTGATCCAAATTTTGAATACCTTGGTTTAAATTTTATTACATCTTGCCAAATTTTGAACACCTCAAATTTTTCGCGCTCGTTACGCTCGCATTTCAAACATCCATCAACGGGGGGGGGGGAGGTAGGTACAAAAAATTTTGAACAGAATGCGTGACATATACGTGATTCGCGTGAAAAGTCCGAACGAAATGCGTACGTTTATTTTTCGGCGTTCGTATTTTTGCTGTGTAGACGAACTTTTTTAGAAATTTTTCTACAGAAATATTTTTGCTTGACAATTACCAGGTAAAATGCGTATTTGCGTGACATTTTCTGTCACCCAAAAATAACTGGCGTGACTTCAAATTCTTCAGCAAATGCGTGACAAATACGCAAATTGCAGGACAGTTGACAGGCCTGCGATAGGTTAAAAAAACGAATGTTGATAAAAGGCGAACGCATTCCTTTCGGACTTTTCACGCAATTTCCGTATATGTCACGCATTTGCTTCGAAATGAAATATGTGTATATACACTATGTCACGAATTTGCTTCGAAATATTTTGTGTATGCCACACATCTGCTTCGAAATATTTTGTACCTTCCCCACCCCACTAAATAATCAGAAATATACAAATGTCATTCATGTGCAGTATGAAAAAAAATCTGCCAACTTCAAGATTCTGTAATGACCTTCGATAGCAAGTCGCTACTACAGTCGTGTAGTGGCTAGCCCTTATGGCTCAGGAGTAGAGCGTCTGACTTGAGAGCGGAAGGTCCTGGGTTTGATTCCCGTATGGGGCATTGAATTTAGCACACTCTCTTTCGAGTATCTAGCTCGGTACACCACAGCTCCCCAACAGGCGTGCCCAAGGGTCGTTACAATTCTAATACACATGACTCAAATTACTCCCACATTTATGGATACCCATGCAGACCCAGTTGAAACAACTTGAAAGTGACAGTCTGCCACCCTGTCAAAAGTGTGAAATATTGACTAAAAACAGATAGAATGAGGATTTAGCACCCAGTTGAGAAAATATTGTTATGAGATCACTTTTCTCAGTGCTAATGTTATATTTCCAGAAGATGGAGGTACTCTGGCATATCCTTGTGCTTTTTGGGCTCATATACCACACATCAGCTGGTACTCTGTATGTGGAACCATATGATAAGGAAGATGTTGCTGGTGTCATCAACGGTGATGTGGTAGAAATGGTCCAGTATCATCCACACAGGTGGCCAACTCCTCCACCTTGGCCGCAAAAAGCACACATGGGTGAGAATATGTTCATTTTATTTTTCCTCTGGCTAGAACAATCATGCCAAAATATCAAAAATATCAATATCAAAAATACCAAACTACATGTATGAGGTAAAACTGAACAAATCTGTAGCAAATGCAAAAATAGTGTTTTGGCTTGATTTGAAATGAGTATGTGAAAAACCTTGATATTTTATCACTCATTTGACTCTTGTATGAATTCTATAACTTATAACTCATTTATTGAGACAGAGGCACCATATGAATTATTGTTTATCATAAATTTTGTAATGTTTTCAGCTCGTTATCTCGTTCACTATGCAGACTGGTGTGTTGTTTCCTCATTATCAAAGGATCTTGGTGGAGTTCCCTTCGGGGAGGTTGAATCATTTGCAGACGGGACGCTGTTATGTTATCTTATTATAATAAATAAGATGGACAAAATTTGTAGTACTGGTTTAGTTTTATTTCACTTCTCATAGATGGCGTTCTATACTGAACGAAAAGACATATACAGTAAATAAACCCGGGAGCTACAGAATGAGCACTTATTACACATATCATGACATCTCCCTTTTAAGATTTTTACTTTAAACAATCTTTTACAATACACAAAGTAAATTTAGCAAGTTATCATGATTAACTTCTTATTTTAATACTGAAAATGACATATCACTATAAACAGTTTAGAATGTCTAATCTCTCACAAGATATTTTAAATGTTTTATACCTCATATTTTAAGAGTTTTTATATCTTGCTGGTTTAGATACTGTGATACCACTTCTGGATCTAGTTTGAATTGGTGACCTGAAAGTAGGGGTAATACTTTCCTTTACAGGAGAACTGACTTGATCACTACCTTCAGATGACAATTCATTCTGAATAGAACTTGGAGAAATAGGAGTCACTTGATGATTATTTTGAACATTACTACTGCTAGTATCTGGATACTCAAAATCATCTTTGATATGCACTTGGACGTTAGGCTTATGTTCAGTTTTCATCAAATGTCTCTGATTCCTTCTATACACACCACCTTGATGTTCAACAATGAAAGATCTTGGAGCTTTGTCTGTACTTAGGATTTTACCTGGTGAGCTCCAAAGTTTCTCAG